TTCATACAGCGTTCTTCCTTGACACGGCAGCATAGGTAATAGTACCTTGATACTCTTCGTTTATTTCTCCTGAATTATGAAAAATATACTTACGAAGTTTTAAATTATAATGTATAAAAAGGAAACTAGGCAACGTCTGGTACTAAACTTCGCCTATCTTCGCGCTACTTGTATTCATCTGTATGTATAGCGACGAAAATTGGAACTGGGACTGGGCGTTGACGATAGCGCCTTGATGCAATTATTCAACCTCGACGGACGTCCGTATTGCATTCAAAAAAATTGAAGGCGTTTTGACTTCCTGCGCACTATAGCTACAGGTGGCGGTGGGTCGATTGGTGACAGAACCTTTAAGCAACGATTCAACTGTAAGGATGCTGGTCGCATATCAATGGTCAAAGTGTGAAACCTCGTACCTCCACCTCCATTGCGGTGTTTCAAAATTTTCGCTCCTATTTTTATTTTCTTCAAAAAGGAACATGTATCAACGGAGCGATCGGAGAATAGGCATTTTTCGACTTCAACCATTGATATATTTTGTTTTAAATTATAGCTAAAACGACAAGCCATTCCAATACACTGCGGTGGTAAACCCTCTTAGGATCAGAAACGTCCAAGGTGAATTCTAATTAATACATATGAGTAAAATAACGCCGTTTACGTAGTTGGTAAACTGCCTATTGCAGAATAATTCCACCTCGAAATTGAGTCGTGCCTAATTTTGGCGGAGAAAATGTTCTAAATAATTACGTCAAAGCTCATTTTCCGGCACTGACGTCAGCAGCAGCGTGACATCCAGTTATCGGCATCCACCATAATAATAGGAAGACAACCTTTTTTGGGCCGGATTGTAGAATGTATAAATCTGTTAAAATTAATGATTTCGCAGATCAGACAAAATGAGTCAAAAGGGCAGCAGCAGAGGCTAATAATCCGAAAACAATTCTAATAATAAAGCTGCCAATAAATAAAGTCGCCCTTTGGACTAAGCTCTTCTATACTGCCGTGCCAAGGAAAAACGCCGTATGAACCCTCAGGCGTTGCCAAATTTCGATTGACACAACACAAATTTCCTGGTAAACTTATGAATATTTTCCTTCCAATTTTTCAGTCGCTCACAATTGCACATATAGTTTCTGAAAATTTCAACATAAAATATTCATAACTTTCCCCAAAAATAAACATCTTATCGAAGGGAATTTGGCAACTCTCGAATGTTCATACGGCGTTCTTCCTTAGCACGGCAGTATAGATTACGAGCTAGCCTAATGTGTATCGGGCAAAAGGGACACTATTTATTATTTCAGAATCCATGATGCGAATGGGTTAAAACAGAGCAGGGCGCTCTATTTCAATTTATTTGTGTCCTTTCTTAATTCTGGGACTTTCTTCCCTGGTAAAAATAGGCGATAAGAGCTGCGTTTCAAAATACCGTAGGAATTCTTATAGCCGGCTAAAGAAGGCTACAGAAAATCATATAGCTGGCTGCTGGCTGTAGAATGCGGAGAAAATCATACGGCCGGGCTATACGAAGCGATAAGAAATTATACAGCCGGGCTATAGTTCCTATATCGCCGGGCTTTACACTTTATCGCCTGGCTGTTGCTTTTTCGTCATCGATTATAATAGGCTAATAGAAATTCGTGTGCTTTGGAAATCATTAAGTTTGATACGGAACCACCTTAATATTTACAAGACACACATTATATTTTCCTTTAATACATATTTTTTTTCATCAATTAAAATGAGAACAATCCATACAGGATGTGCAAACATTTCAAAATCATGAAATGAATAACGTTGACTCCGCCAGATTAAATATTAGAGCCTAACACAAAGCGGAGCAGCGACGCACTGGCGCCTACAAACCTAACAGGGATACTTCACGCATTGCGCAGTGCGTGAAGTATCCCTGTTAGGTTTGTAGGCGCCAAAGCGCGTTTCGCGCTAGCTGCCCGCCTGCCGCGCCGCAGCGTGCCACGGCGCTTGAAGCAACTATTTCACACCAGAGGTATTGCACAGTATCATACGAAACTGAAGGCGCTCTAATATATCAGGAATGGCAGGCATTCATGAAAAGTACGGAGCTTTCCTCGCAAAATAAATCAAGATACTACGGCCCAAAAAGAGATCAGTAGTCCAAAAACTCACTAAGTCCTAGCATCCGTAATTAGTAACGTTTATCAAACACTTTATCGCCTGGCTGTTGCTTAATCGCCATCGGCTATAAAAGGCTATAAGAAATTGTGTAGCCCACTATAGAAGCTATTGGAAATCTTACAGCCGGCTGTAGGTCTATGGTATTTTGGAACACAGATTCTACTGCCAATTTTTACCTGGGAAGGCATTCAAAAGAATTCTTTTGAATGCCTTAATTAAACGGTCACCACTCGGTCCTCACGTTGAACCCATTTCATTTTTTGTGAATACTTCACGGGTATTTAAGTTGAATACAACCCTCTTCTGCCTGGTTTATCGGTGCAGCTGTTTTATTAAGTGTTAAATCGCATCTCGGGTGGATGTATACCGCATTAGACGAAAATTTCCTTTATCGAGATTTAGCCACCCTCATTTTTTTTTATAAAAAATTAACTGGATCTTGAAGTGCGGTGCATGTGTAAGTGACCACACAAGTGGGATCCAATTGCAATTGGATTCCTCCATATCCCTCTTGTCCTCTTTGTCTATCAATTTCAACGATCAGCCCGCAGAAGCGTCCACGATGTTCACCGTCGCTCTCTTACCGCGCGGAGTTAGGTCAGGGTTCAGAATACAACTTATTGAACGTCTGAGTAGTGTTGGGAAGTATCCACCCCTGCTGAAGGCGAACTACGTGAACGCTTCTGATCTCGATAGAGTTTATGTACATTTGTAGTGCATTGGAACTCTTTGTTGCAGTGTCTATGATTTAAAAATAAATCATATCATTCGACAAAATATCTAATGTAAATTTTCGCATAGAAAATTGAGTGCGAAATAAGATGTGTACATAAGTACCAATGAGGCTGTTTTCCGTGCGGGGTTAGGCCACGGTCAGAGGCGGGTCCAGCAAGTTGGCAAGACCGGATTTCCTCCATTCAAACCTATGCTAAATAATCGATTCTTGACGGAGCACCTGGCCCCTCCAAAAATCGATACATTTCCATATGTTTAAATGGAGAAAAGACAATGTTGCCAATTTGCTGGATCCGCCAATGGTCACGGTTCCGGATGCATCTAATTTAACGTCTAAGTAGCTGTATGAAGTATCCACTTCAATTGACGGCGAACACCTTATACGCTTTTCTGATCCCGATAGAGTTTACAACCGCAGTATATTTGAATGGCTTGTAATTTTGGCTAAAATTTAAAACAAATATCAATGACTGAAGTCTAAAAATGCGTATCTCTGATTGTTACGTTGATGTTTTTTAAAAAAAAAAATTAAAATAGGAGCGGAAATTCCGAAACATCGCAATTGAGATATGCTATACGTTAAGCTTAAAAATCGCATGGAGGCGCTGTCGCCAAAGCATCCGTCGATCGACCCAGCTGGCCGGCTACAGCTAGTGCGCAGGAAGTTAAAACGCCTTCAATTTTTGTAATGCAATACGTACATCCGTAGAGGTTGAATAGTTGCATCAAGGCGCTGCTATCGACAACGCGTCCCACTGTTTATTGCTACGAAGACAAACAAACGAATACAAGTACCCAAGTAGCAGTGATCGCGATGAATAGCGATTTTATCGGTTGGTTATCGCGATTAAATCGGTGGCAATATATCGAGATATTATCGCATTAAAAATTGTCATATATGGCTATTAAATTGCTCCACATCGCAATTTTTGGTCCAATAAAATCGCGATCAATTTTCGTCGATTAAATCGAGGTTAAATCGCCATTTATCGCGATTTTCATTTCGAAAATACGCTATAAAATCGCGATTTCATCGTCGATAAGATCGAGGATAATCGCTCAGATGATGATGATGATCCTAGCGATTTTATCGTCGATAAAATTGCAATATATCCCGATTTTTCCGTTGAAAAATGCCACTTGGGTACCGCGAAGAAAGTCAAAATGCCTTTATTATATTTTTTCACCTTGATGTTCAAAATGAGAAACCACGGATCTCCGTTATCGACGTTGCAGACTTCCTGTCGAACTTTATATTTTCTTCGGGAAATCATCATCTTCCCGGTCATCCTAAAAAAAGATTTGAGCGGCAGATATTAAACTAGGTACATATAAGGAAAACAGTAAAAAACATTTTAATTGACCCATTCTAAAGTGTAGAGCTTTGAAATATTAAAGCAATGAATTATTTAATGACATTAATGTATAATCTAAAATTTATAACGAGTCGAATATTACAGTTTCTAATGTTTTTCTTGTGTTATTATGCAACAGGACTGAAACAGGGGAACTAGGAAACATTCTTTTTGTTATGAGTGAGTAAAACTTAGATAACCGCAAACAAATAAAAATTTGGTGAGACTGGTAATAATACAGATGTAATTTTGAAATATCCTTCTACCCCACTGTTGAGCAGATTGAGGAGGAGGGTGCAACAGTTGTATATTGCACCTTTTGCTTTCAGCACAGAGGATTTTGTGATTATTTCTGATTTTGTTAGGTTCTCAACAGAGTTTCTCTTGAAGTAAGTCGAAAGAAATGGAGGGGGCAGGTCTTAAATGCGGTGAAGATAGAGGAGAGTGAAGCCTGTTTTTTTTCCTTTTCCTTGTTTTTTTTGTTTTGTTTTGTTTTTACTCTGTCTTTACTTATTGTTACCTTGTTTATTTATTAGTTTCTTTTTTTAAACTATACACTCTGCACGTTCTTTTTTGATTCTGCCCCTTTGTTCGTTGCCTTTGTTGGTTATTGTTTTGTAACCCTCTAATATTGTTACTGATTATGTTGCTGTGTAGTATTCTAGATTTTCGTTCTTTTTGTTCGTATCCTGACTATTCGGCATCTGGCCTATGTCTGTTTTTTAACATAAAAATAAAAATACAATAGAATAAAAAACAAAAGGCATTTATTTTCGGAAAATGTTCATGAGAAACAAAAAAGGCTATAGATTTCTAAGTACAAACAAAGTCCAAAGGAAATAAAAACCTCTTGAAGGACAGCATTGATTTGCTAATGATTGAAAAATACTATAAATTAATATTCCTTGCCCTCTTTGGTTTACAAAAATGAGCAAGTAGGTATAAATATTTTAATCCTCGAAAAAGGAAAATTGTATAATAAATGCTTTGAACTGTTACATGAAATATACGGGTTGTATTTTTCATTTAACAATTTTTGGTAATTTTGAAAAACTTGATGGAGATAATTTCTCTGACCCTGGGTTGAGAAAAGGTTTTAACTTTGAATGATGCATAAGAGGAGGAAATGCGGAAGGGAACTCTTCCCAAGTTAAGATTTCATTCAGCTCTACGAAGAGGGTTTCATTTAATATTAAAATGAAAATTTAACAAGTGAGGATAAGGGGATGCGCATCTCATTATTCTTTGAAAATTCCTTCAGAATTTATAGGAGATCTCAGACAAATTTTAGTCGCTATTTAGGAAAAGAAGAAAAACGCAAGACTAAATAAAGAAATATTTTAAATGTAAATAAAGAAAATAAAATATTTGAGGTTTGATAGTGAATTTTTGTTGCAACGACAGGCAGGGCAAATTATGGAAAATTAGACTTCGAAATTTCAAGAAAAAAATTGTGAAGGTTGGAAGGATTATTTTTTGCAATTGATGTTAATCTGATGTAGAAAAGAAACAAGATTTGCACCAACGTTCCTACTGAAGTTACTTTACTTGCTTTCCCGTTTTTAGTTTGTTGATTTTGTCTTGTTGCGTAGCAGTGATTTTCATCATACATTGAAAGTCACTTGCATTTGAACAAGGACTAAAATGTTACTCTTTGCGATAAGTATAATACTAAAAAAAAACAAGCGCTATGAGTCTTTGTTACAGGATTGATTTTTCTGAATTCCATGTTTTTTCTTGCTCTATAAACCCTATCAATCCCTTTCTCTATAAATCAAAATGACTTACACCTGAGTTGTGTCATGAGACAGAAACTCATAAGTCTGATATTGTAAAGATTAAATATCAATCAGACTAACATAAAAGTGATTTCATCCTGCTGCTGAGCAAAAATTGTTTTTGTCCAATATAACTTCGTTCCATTTTTACTAGGTTTACGGTATGAACATTTGAGTTGTTTTTTCTGATTGATGTGAGCGCCTCTTTTACAAATAGAATAAAAAAATAAAAAAGGGTTCTATACTCTCCTCTGTGTTCAACACTCTGCAAGAATTGTACAGTCCTTCTAAAAAGGATTAGTGACCAGGATGCAAAGATTGTCAACATATTGGATGATACTTTTTCACTCAAGTTAGTAAACGTAGCACTTACACAAACCATAAAATAACTGGTTCATCGATGATCTGTAAAAATAATTTTTTTTTTTCATCTGGCTCAAGAGGGGCCTCAAGAATAGATCACACTTTTCTGAGGGGGATGCATACCTGGAGCCAGCGTTTTCCATCAGTCTTATGTTTTAGTTAAAAATAAACCTTACTTATCTCGCGTCATCATCATCCTCAGAATCTTGACTATGTTCATGAAGCAGTACATACTCTCGACTGCTGAAACCAAACTTGATAACATCCTTTTCAAGCAGTTCAACATACTTCTTCGGCTCTATCCTCTGATTGTTCACATAAGTTCCATTAGCCGATTCTAAATCAATAATGTACAAACGAATCCGCTGTGCACGTCTTCCATCCACGCGAGTGAATGGTACTAAGCGATACTGAAGTGCAGCATGTTGCTTGGAACACGAGGGATGATCAATTGGAATATCACAGACACGACGCTCACGGCCAAGAAGGAATGCAGACTGACGGTGAATGTGAAGAATCGGAAGGCTCTGGTCACCTTTGAACGGGTATAGACGCCACCTTCTTTTTGGTTTCCGCGCTTCTGGCGGCTCGGAGTACTTGATAACAACACCATTGTACGTGTTAGTGTCCTCTGCAAGCTTGCCAGACTTTTCTTCAAATTTGCTGAAAAAATTAAAATTTAAGTTTTTTATAAGTATCTCAAATTAAACGTTAACAACTAACCAATATCAACACAGTATGAAGAAAATCTGAAGAAATCATTTTCAACAATGCCAAGAAAAGCTTTTATTTATCATTTTACTTTATTAAAGTAATCTTTAAGGAGATGATGGGAGAGGCCACTTTTATTTGATAAACAAGCTTGGAACTTTCCGTGTCCCTTGTCTTTACAGTGGTCTTAATCGCTATGACGGAAATGAAACGTAGTGGTGAGAAAGCGTGGAAGCTAATAAAAAACCTGAGCCAGGGGTGCAGAATCTTCCAAGCTTCCACATTTTCACACGCTCAGCCACCCGCCAGCCAGCTGTCCACATTTTTCTTATCAGTTTTCCACCAAATTTCCCACCATTCTAAGAAAAGATATAATGTTTCTTCTTTTTTCCTTTGTTTTTGACGTTTCAACCTTCAAGAGATTCCCTCCTTCCACATTTTTGGGGCTTATCCACATTTTCACTCGTCCGGTCAGGCACATGATTGGGCATTTTCTACATCCCTGACCTGAACAACGACCCAACTGCCCCAAACCATAAACATCCAGCCGCTCACCTGACTCTGACCTGCTCTTTGGTCACCAATTTCCATCTTGTAGACTGTAATAACACTTGAATTGAAGTTAATTACTGACTTTAAAAGAGTCTCCAATAAGAAATTGATGAACATTTTATTTGAAAGACTTTGACAAAGCAAAAAAAAAAATTGTCATGTAAATAATGCTTTTCAAATGGTGATCAGGAATTGCTTTCAAAAGCTTTCTTACCTCAAGTTAGAATTTCCTGGAGGCTCAGGAACTCCAGGCTCCTGTTTGATCTGCGCAGGATTTCTTTGATTCTCATCTGAATCCTGCCACCGACTCCGCTCCTTCTTTTCTTTTTTCTTTTTCTTTTCTTTGTGCTTTTCCTTTTTTCTCTCTTTTTCCTTTTCTTCAACTTTCACTCCATCGTCATTTGCAGCTTCTCTGATCTTGCTTTTGTCCTCTTTCTTGTGCTTTTCTTCCTTAATTTTATCCTTTTCTTTCTCCTTTGACCTAGAGCGACTGAAAGAAACAAAATAAACGACCATAAAAAAATCTAGACTAACAAAATTTCTTAAATTTATACCCAATGCCTAAATTTTACAATGCATCATTTACAGTTTTCACCGACGATTGGTTCATTGATGAATTGAGATGTTTAAGATGATGAAAAAAGAGAAACAACAAGAACAACAACAATGTGGAATTAGAGTGGTTTTTATTTAACCCTAGTAAGTATCAATTTTGAAAGAACGGATATTAAGTACTCCTTCTCATCAGGGGTGCAGAGACTTCCATACTTTGCGACCGGTTCTGCCAAGTGCTGGGCACAGGAGGACATCTTGCACTCCTGCTTTTCTTCCTCTGTATTTGAAATTAAATTTTGACACCAAAATTAATAAATTGTAGCCGACCACGAGAGATTAGACTGTAGCCCACAATAACTCAAAATTGAGTTATTACTTCCAGAGCACGGTGTAGCTGTCTACAAACATTCTCGGACAAAATAGTCAAATCTGACTGGAGTTATGATGGTTTGAAGTTTGCACTTTAAAAACGTTGTATCGAGGAAAAACTTATTCAAATCCTAGTAAGCCGATCACAAAACTGCTGGATTGTAATGCAATTTTATACCTTCTTTGGGCACAAAAATGAACAAAACCTGATGAATCTGGTTTCAAGGATATAAGAGGGAGTTTTCCCATGAAATCTCAAAATCCACCTTTTCTACAAGCCCATCAAAAATCACTGTACTGAAAATTGTGCCTCTGTAGACTTATGTCCCTCCACTCATAGACAGGCACAGTTTAAAAATATTAAAACGAATAATGATGCAACAATTTTGAATGTTACAAAAAATAGTCGTTTGATGATTAATAAAATTATAAAATACATAAAAAAGCGCAAAAACTCACGGATTTTTATGCCCACTGGATTCGTCATCGGACTCATCTGATAGATTCCTGCAAAAGAAAAATTTGTGGATTAAGAGAAAATAATGGTAAAAGCATGGACAGGGGAAAAAGTATAGAAACGACTGAAATTTAAGTGTTGCTGGTAAGTATGCACATGATCTATTTTTGATGGTCAATTCATGAGCAATGGTGCAACAAGGTCTTATTTGTCTGAAACCAGTTCTACAGTGCTTTCATCAAAAACTTCTTATGCAAAAACCGACATATACACGAATTTCAAGAGTTATGGAAATTTTTTGAGAGAGAATATGGTTGCTGCAGAAGACGCTCACCTTTTATGCCCATCTGATTCATCGTCAGACTTTACTGGTAAATATCTGTAATGAGAAAAGAAAAATGCTAATGAAACTTTTGGAATAGTATACTCTGCAATTTTGGTTGATGGTCTACTGAGAGAAAAAAGAACAGCTTTTACTGAGGATGGTAAAAAAGACCCATTTATCACTCCTAGAAAGTTTCTTTGAGAGGAATTTGATAATGCTTAAAGAAGTTCATCTCCTCCTATGCTTAGAACGAAAGCCTCATGGGACTATCGAATATTTCATGTCATTTTCAAAATAATCACAGAATAAGTCGATCATTTAGATCAACAAAATATGTATTGCACATTCAGATAAGCCATACATTTAGTATTTAAAACATTAAAGACAAACATGTAGTTGCCTAGCTAGAGTAAATTTGATGTTACAATATTTGTGCAAGGGTGAAACTGCAGGAACGAGTATTATGCACAAAAGCCTCTCTCCCTGCCAATTAAGTTAATTGACTGAAAGGAAAAATTTGATTCTTTTAATTAGTATCACAAATAATAAAAGACACATAATTGACCATCAAAGATACTTACTGTTTAGGTATCTCTCGTTTTACATCTAACTCTTCATAGCGGTGCCTAAAAATGAAAAGGTTAACATGATTTAATTCCTCAAGATTTTTGAGCATGATGTACAATAAGTAAAACAGGTTAGAAGAATTATATAGTTCTTGATGATGGATAAAATCTTGAGATGAGAGTTAGTGCCGCTACACACAGCATGACCATGCTGAGAAGATCCAAGACCCATTAGCCTTATATGAAGAGATTCTCTCAAAATTCATAAATTATGAAATGATGACAAAAAATATACGACGAAGAAGAAATTAGTCACTTCAACAGTGAAAGATAAATCCACACCGATTAAATGATCAAACTTGGTCAATTAAAAGAAAGTTCTACAAAAAGTAATTCCCCAGGGCTGCCTTAGTTAGTTGGATGGTGATCATACCATAATAATGACCGTGGATAAACAAGCTTCCAACGTGCAAGGGAAAAAATAATTTCAAACCACTATTTTTGTGGCAAGAGAATTCCACATTTCCTTCATCCTGAATCAATTCAGGATTTACTAATTTTGAATACTGCTAAAAAATTAACCATCAGAGACACTTACTTTCTATGTTTCAATGGGTCTTCATCGGGCTCTTCAGCACGATACCTAGAAGTGAGAAGAAAAAAGATGACTATTAGCCGCAAATCAGAACAGTAGTTTATATTTTGATTTTAAAATTCCACTTCTGCAACAGCTCTACAGTTACAGTACAGCTGCAGTACTGTGAAGCAATCTTTTCTATCATACAATTCTTGGAATCCAGTTGAAAATGATTCTAAATTTTCGTGTTTAAGACATGAACTTCAGAATGGACAAAATTTCAAACTAGTCAATATTAATTAAAAACCGGATCAAAACCCCCAAAAGGATTTAAAAAATAATTACTACCTTCAATAAAGGTACATACCAAAAGTCAAACGAATGGTGCTCATTTTAATTAAGTGGAAAAAGCCCAGAGAGGCTAATCGAGATTCTATTCTGCAAATAAACCCTTTTGTGTGCTTAGTGTTTACAAGGTAAACAGGACACAAGGACACAGGGTATGCTAAGAGGAACGGAGATGGATATCTGGAGAAGGTCGGCTGGAATACCTAGAAGAGATCCGTTCCACAATGATAGAGTGCGCCGGATCATAGGCGTCAAAAATGACATCGTATTCGACCAAACAGCTTGACAAGTGTGGTCATGACGTCTTGCAGCTACTGCAAAGGCTTGCAATTTTTCTGCTGTGTAACAAATGGTGTCATGACTATTTTAAATTAATTTACTTAAAGTTCAAGTAATTGAAAATTATTTTGAGCATAACCGGCTAAAAAAAGTTAAGTAATGAGGAAAGAAGATCGTGAAATAAATAATAATTAATATGTCCATATGATAATTTGGGACAGTTGAGAGGTAATACTACTCACTTTTTATGCCTACGAGGTTCTTCTTCAGGCTCATCTGCATACAACCTAAGAGACAAGACAGGAGAAACATTAAAAATCTTTTGATCACTATGAGGATCTCAGGGCCCAATTTTTAACGATACCTCATTAATTGCAGCTTTAAATGAGCTAAAGAATACATTCGATCGTATTCTTAAGCTGTCACTATCAGTGTTAGATTGTAAATATTGTACAGAAAGCAAATGCAAAAACACTCAACGCCAGATGCAAAAGTATGTGAAAGTTGTCAGCACAAGTTAGTGAGGATTGTACTCAACTCTTTCCTTTTTCCTCTTTTCCTCTCTCTTCATGTACATCTGTGGCATGAGCACCTAGGAGGAGATGATTCAGCCAGAGACCCCTAGAGCAAAATGACTTGATAATCTTGAAATTTCAGTTGGCTTTATATGACCCAGGCATAAATTCATGTACTAATTGGACTATAAAAAATAAGAAGTAAGACTACTCACTTTTTATGCCTACGAGGTTCTTCTTCTGACTCATCTGCATAGGACCTGAAAGAGGGAGAAGCAAAGAAAAAACTTAATAACCTCATAAATACTATTAGCATTTCTTGGCCATTTTTGAAATCTAAATTCATGTGTCCAGATGTAACTTTAATTTTTTACTGTTTTTCATTCAAAATTTGAGGTTCTCATAAGTCAGAACCGCTAACTGCTGTCTACAAAATCAATTGAGCAATGCACTATGACTCCAACCGCCAGCTGGAGAATGGTGTGGCGGGCGACTTTTCCAGGTTTTTACCAGCATCATTTTTGTGGCCCGTGAGATCAGAGAGTGTAAATATTTGTCAGAGAAAAGCTTAAATAATCACTAGGATAAAAGCAATTTCAACTGGTTCCCTCGATTATCTTAAGGATTGATCAAAATTGAAGAAATCTTACAAAATTCTGCAGAAATTGTCAACCTTAGAGACCTCTGAGCAAGTTTAAAATATTTAAATTTTCAGGGCTGCAATTTTTTTTCCGCTGTTTTTTTTTAATAAATGAAATGGATAGACTGATTGGATAAATGTAAAAGCAAAGACCCCAGACATGGTTCATCTGGAGGCCCCTAGAGGAAACTGACTTAATGACCTTTTTAGTCGGCTCGATGTGACCCAAGCACAACTTCATCTGATCATTGAAGTATTAAAAATGACAGACAAGACTACTCACTTTTTATGCCTGCGAGGTTCTTCTTCAGGTTCATCTCCGTAGTACCTAAGAGAGCAGATAAGAGGAAAATTAAAAACCTTCTAAATACCATGAGGATCGTGAGACCTGATACGTAACATTCATTTATTATTTTTACTTGAGACTTGAAATGAGCTGAGTGATAAAAAAAACACTGGCTATTATTCTTAAACCATTATTTTCGGTATTCAATGATTGTGAATGTTGTGTAGAAAGCATGAGCCAAAACACTTGGCAGAGACTCAGTGCAGAAAGTAAGACAAAATGAGAGAAAAGTATGAAACAAGAAAGATAAAGATTACTCACTTTTTATGCCTGCGAGGTTCTTCTTCGAGCTCATCTGCATAAGACCTAGGAGAGCAGATAAGAAGGAAATTAAAAACGTTCAGAATATTAAGAGAAGCTGCAGACCCACTATGAGTTTGTAAGTTAATTTTACTTGCGGCTTAAAATGGGCTTAAATATAATTTAATACTATTTATTATTAAACCGTCACTATTGGTGTTTGATAGTTGTACATGTTGTACAGGAAACATAGAAAAAAGCGCTTAGTAGGTACAGGAAGCAAGAGGAAATGAGAGTTGTTGGCACAAGTTTAGGAAGAGTATGACTCTTTCTCTTTTGTTTTTTTTCCTTTCTTCTCCCTTTTTGATACATCCTTTGTGCAGACACCTTGGGAAGTTGGAAGGAATGGCTCAGCCCTAGGACTCTAGAAGAAAATGACTTAAAAGCCTTAGAATTTCAGTCAGCTTAACATGACCCGAGTGCAACTTTGCCTGAAAATTTAACTGTAACTAATAAGCGGTAAGACTACTCACTTTTTATTCCTGCGTGGTTCTTCTTCAGGCTCAACTGCATACGACCTAGGAGATAAGACAAGAAGAAAATAAAAAAAGTTTTAGGAACAATATGAGGATCTTAGGACCCTATGCATAGTTATTAGGTATTTATTATTGTTTAAATCTATTGGTATTATTAGTTGTTTGAGTTGTTGTTTATTACCTCTATTTATGATTTTGACCTGAGGCTTGAAATGAGCTAAAGCGGGAGTTATGAGTTCTCATAAAAATCTACCTGCCAATGGCCAATCCACAGACTGGAGGAGATTTTTCTCATCAATTTTACCATTAAAAATATTTGCTTACTCAAGCACAATTTCACCATGATCTTCATAGTTAACAGTTTTTTCTCCTACTAATACAATGAAAGTAAGAACATCCATTCGGTAGACACCTACCCTAAAAATCTCCAGAGAGCTAAGTCTTTCAATTAAATTAAAATAATAACAAATAAATATTTATGCATATATAAAACATCTGAGAACCTTAATGAATGAATGAATGAATGAATGAATGAATGAATGAATGAATGAATAAATGAATGAATATGAATGGATGAAGGGCGCAACTTACCTTTTGTGCCTATAAGACTCTTCAACGACTTCATCTATACACAACCTGGAAAAAAACAAGAGAATTGAAATAAATGGAATGCCAATGGCTTGCATCGGTATATTAAGCAATATGAATATACTATTTCTTACACACGTTTGAATTGATAGATGTCCGATAAGATAAACATTAAAATATATTTTACGAGAAAATATAAGTCCACTCACTTTTTGTGTCTGTAAAGCTCTTCTTCCGGCTCATCTGCGTGCGATCTAAAAGAGAGGACAACCAGAAAATTAGATTAGAATAAGAATTAATGAAGCTTGACAATCTAACATCATAGAATAAATCATGCTTCACTCTTTTTTTTCTATTTCTTTGGGTTGGAAAAGAGGCAGTAAGAAAAATCGCAATTTGCCTGATGTAAGATGAGAGGAAGCAAGTTAAACTCCTACTGACTTCAGATTTTGTGGGAGGTGCTGTCCAACAAAAGTTGAGTCAGTGCGATATCGTTGAGGACATCTTTAATCTAACGTGGACTGTATATCGACTGTGTAAAATGGTGCATACTGTAGAATTCGTTTGGCAATCTTCGCACAGTGACATAAAAGGTCAAGGACTTGACCAGAAAACTTAGCAACCAATTTCATCGACAAAAATCCAGAATCATACGTAGTAGTTTGAGGCTTTCATCAGGTAGACTATTACTGACCTTTGAGCCTAATAAATGGACCGAGGAGGGAACGAGAGTGAAAATGGACAGATGCTCCAAACCAGGAAGTAGGTCTTTGGTGCTGACAGTTCACCTGATCTATTAGGAATTGACAAAACATTTCTGCGATTATCATTGTTGATTTGAGGGTACAAAGGACTGCCTCAGTCCAATTCATAGTGAAATTTTTAATTTTAGTAATGTTTTGCAGGGGATTTAAGGAACAGTTCTTGAGACATAACCTCAAAGAGTAGAGAATTCAGAAGGAGGCGATTATTACCTGACTTTGTGTCGTTTATGGCGATGATGGTGTCGATGATGATGGTGATGATGTCTATGAGCTCTTTTATGTTCGTAGTCGTTATCAGCCATTGAAAATAATATTAAAAAACTAAATTTTAGCAACTAAGAAGGAGAATGATAACTCACGTTCATTTGCGTTTAGAAATTGGTAAACATATTTTGCCAACCTTGAACCAAAAAAATTTGACGAACATTCAAAACTCAGATTCCTAAAAAATTGTAAACTCCCTCAGTTTTTAGTGGGATTTCGAAACAAGCAGATCAATCTCTGTGAGGATTTTGCTGAGACAGTGAGACTGGAAAACGTAATATTTGTAATTTAATCAACAAAATTAGGGTCCTTGAAAATGAAACCAACCCTCACACTATTTTGATTTGTCACTTTGCCTCCTTGGAAAATTTGTAAACAAGAGGAAGCCTCTTATCTTTTATCAAAACTTTGCAAGAAGCGGTTGCAAAAAAAAGACTATTATTCTACTATTTACCATGAAAGTAAAGTGATGTTGATGCTTTCGCGTTGTGCTAAATAAAAGTCAAATAATCTCAATTCACAATGCAATCTGAGGATGCCAGATTCATCAAAAAGTAAGTGGTCTTTGACATACTCATTTGAACTTTTTTCAGCACATACTCGGATGTGACCGTTCCTTAGCTTTTCAATATTTAACCATAGATTTTTCTTGAGCATTTCGAGTTATTTAACTCCTTAATATATTACTTAGAGTATGGTCTGGCTATGACATCACCATTTGAAACTGACCGAATAAATTTCACACGGTGGCAAGTAGAATCGAGCTCTTAGCCGTCGCAACCAAATCGTTTACTGTCATTAGGCTGGCTCTCACAGCTCTTTTAGTCGATGCTGAATTGGTTTGAAATTATTTTTAGGAGTCAGGAGATCTATTGTCTTGATCCATGTATGCACTTACTTTTCGGATGTCAAATCTTCTGTCGCAGTCTGAAAATGTTCAATTCTGTTCAGCATAGACTCCAGAAAATTAAAGGGTGGTCACTTTCACAAGACCTAAATAACCAGTGTATACTATCTAGTGGAATTAAGGAAATATCTAACCAATTTGTTACAGCTCGATGTTGCGTTTAGTCATCCGCCTTGGGTGAGAAGAGCACTGAACTTTACTTTGTCTAGTTTCGTATGTTGAATGTGTTCTTGATCCATATCACTTCATGTCATTCTCTTGATCAATTCCAGGAGATTTAGAGCTGGCGCTATAGACGTTCATCCAACAGAGAAAGCTCTTATTGTCAACTATGAACTGGAAGCATTCATCTTAGGTGAACACGGTGATCCAATTCTCGGAGAAAGCAAAGTGAGTATCTTTTCTGAGTTAAGTGTCCTTGTAATAGTTTTAAAGCGTGTATTGATGAATTTAATGGAGAATAAGGGAAGAAAATTCTTGTCCGTAAGTAATGATCATTTAATGAAAATTGCAAATAGTGGAGAATTTTTAGCACTAAATACTTTTAGAGGATATTTGCTGGGAGGCGATTAAGTCACAGAAAGGCAATGAGTAACAATCTTAAATCATTTTTTTGCTGTTGAATCAATATTACTCTGGACTGTGATTTGTGGCATGTATCAGCAAGAATGTTGAACCGTGGGCTAGTCTTGTCGGCATGAATGTGTTTGGAAGTGTGAGTATGCGCCTATACCCATCAAGTAATTCAAAGTTCATTGAGTTTCAGTCTTCATTGAGTCTGAATAGACTCAATGGAGATGTTGCATGTGTAAGAAATTTGCGATTTGACTGTTGATTCTTTTGCCAAAGTTCGCGAGAAACACGGTGGTGCCACTGGTTTTCTCTGAAATCAACTCCTCAGCTCAAAAAAAGCTCTCAAGTTGAGGCCAAAATGGAGGGCATATCCCACGCTATCCTGAAAGTCCACCTCTACATCAAAACAAACTCTCCACGCAAAGATAGGGAGCAAGAACATTAGCAGTGATGCCGTGTTTTCAATTTTTGAGTCCCCAAATAAAGTGGCAGCCCTGTCAATGTATTTGCTCCCTATCTTTGCATGGAGAGTTTTTCTTGATGTAGAGGTGGACTCTCAGGATAGCGTGGGATATCCCCTCCATTTTGGCCTCAACTTGAGAGTTTTTTTTGAACTTGGGAGTTGATTTCAGAGAAAACCAGTGGCACCGTCGTGTTTCTCGCGAACTTTTGCATAAGAATGAACAGTCAAATCGCCAATTCCTCACACATGCAACATCTCCATTCACTGGAAACACGTAATGGGTGAGTTTTAAGTGTATTGTTAGGTAAAGAGTTGAATGTTGATTTTCAAGTCATGTTTGCATAAAAAATTAGATTTATTGTGATTTATGATCATTATTCCACTGCTGCTAGTAATGTGTTACTAGGCTTTGTGCATCTAGAAAAAATATTTTTTTAATAGATCTACATTTCTGCTCCAGAACTGAACAACCACAATACCTTGCACTGAGATCATGTTTACTTCTGATACTGAAGATATTTTAATTTTTTTTCTTTTTGTAGAAATGTCAGAAACTAATTCGACTTCGCAGCTTACACGCTAACACCAACTGCCGTGCCCTTGCAAATGAAGTTGTAGACAAATGTGCTCTAATACACAAATCAAAGCTGAATGAAGTGGAACACCTGATATATTATCTGAAAAATAGAAAGCAGAATGCCTTTACAGGTAAGTAAGGGACTGCCTATAAAGTACTTAACGTTCCTGGTAGGAGGGTGGTCTGAGCATGAAGCCTACATTATGCAAGTATCACAAGAGGAGTGGGAAACGATTACGGCTGTGTTACATGATTCATGTTAAACTCTAGTCTATTACATTCTTAATCCTATAGCTGAGAATATGCTAAATGCCTACTTAGAAAATTCAAGAGCAGACGCTTAAAAAACACTTGTGTTTTTGGAAATAAAAATTTTAAAGTCAAATCTAATGCAAAGAAATCAACTGAGTATAAGTGTACAAATGAAGAATACGTATTCATCTTTTCCCAATTTCTTTTCAGAGTAACCAATAGAATAAAAAATAATTATGATGGTCAAATTTTTTGTCTGAATTTCTTTGACTTTAACTCCTCATGGCGGTCATGGGTGAAAAATGGATAGATAACCTCTCCCTGCGTTTTTTACAATATCAGAAACTGAAAAGTGTAATGGAAAAATGTTATCGAGTTGTGTTTGTCTTACAAAAAAAAGAAGAAAAGAAAAAAAGATAATGAAGAGTGCAATTGGAGAGCTACCAATTCAAAGTCTAAAAACTATTTTTCTTTCCGCCAGATTCAAACACGGCAACTTACTCAGAAGGGAATATGTCCATCAATTCTCAACTGGGTCCAGGTGATAAACCCAGCTTTAACAATATGGAAGACTATTTAGAGTTACTCTATGAGGATCTGCAAGAGAAAGTTCGTGGCTCAGCGCTTATTCTAGAACTTGCCAAAGAGCCAAACAACCTTGAAGAATTGTCTAACAGAGGTAATTGCGATCAATGTGCTTTAGTGGAAAGAAGTAGAATGTCTTCTTTCTAATAAGTTCCATAAAAACAATGGGCCACTAGACCAGTTAAAATTTTAAGCATTTTGATGTATGTTTCCGCCTCAAAATTGCTCACTAATTTTGAAGCTCTGTCCTCTGCAGTACAGAGTGTCTACTGAAAATGTAAACCAGAAATAGCAGAAAATATTAAGAAATTTGACGTCATCAGGAAAATATCAGAAAAGTGGTTCATGGATCAGGAAATTCTGAGTGAATCAAGCATTTTTCAACTACATACTGTTTGGCACATGCTAAAGTGAAATGTTTGATTTTGTTCATTAAATATGTTGGTTCATTCAATCAATCTAGTGTTAATTGATTTGCACAAAAAATTTCTTTTAAAATATCAGGAAAAATCAGGATTATTTCTGGAAAATCCAAAATGATATTTTTATAGACACCCTTATAGTAGATAGTGGCCAACTTCTATGAAAAGACAGATATTTTTTACGTGCACTGTTGCGATCCTTGATCTGTAACTTTCCAAGTTGACTTTGGACTTCAGGGGTGGAACACTAGATGTATGTGTTTGAACTTTATTTAGTTTTTTCAACTTTTTCCAGTTGGATTTTGTCCCTTCTGTGCAGAAGCTATTAAATCATGGTCAGATATAAATTAATCAATAATTATTAAATATCGTATGTATCAGATCTAAAAATGCTGTTTAATCTACTTTATCCACAGATTCTGTCCTGAGTGCTCTCTCTCGAGTCCTACGCGAAGACTGGCGCAAAAGCATTGAACTCAGCACAAATATTGTTTATATATTTTTCTGTTTTTCTACGTACAGCATATTTCATCCTATCATCATGCAATTTAAGGTATGCTCTTCTCTTATTATTAGAAATGAACTTTGAATGAAACAAGTAATCTTGGATGCTTCACTAGCTGTATGAAGTTTCCATTATTTGTTTCGTATCGAATTACTTCATTTAATGTACTCCAAAGAGTGCTATTCTTGTTGAGCTAGCCTCTATGCTCCACTGGGTCCACTATCCCTCCCAAAACTGATAACATATGTAGAAAAAACTCAAGAGTCAGAGCTGACAGCAGATAACACACAAGTTCCTTTGCATGAGAAAAGTGTACTTTCTTGAAAGAATGAGTTGATTTCTCTTTTCTCCCATGAGTAATCAAAGTAGGTATCAAATGGACGTATTTCTACCAAACAGACCTATGTGGAGGTGGGAAATATGGGGTGTGCTCTAGAAAGCTGCTTAAGAAGCAATGTAAAAGTAGGCGTGATTCCTTTTGAAGATTTGGAAAAGCGGGATTTTACCTTCTATCAAACAGACCTATGTGCCAACTGAATGCGGAACTCATGAGCTGCGGGCATGGCAAGAGAGCGTTGTAGACAGGGCTCATGAGTTAAAGTGCCCCGACGACGATATCCCCGCTGCCGCGCCCTCGAGCTTACCCTCGTTCGTTGCCACTGACATCACTAGCGCTTTATTATTCTCATTCACTCTTACGGCCAGAGAACTAACGAGCACACCCCATATTTCTCACCTTCACATAGGTCTGTTTGGTAGAATTACGTCTAAATGTCCTTTCCATCATCCCTTTCATTACCAGGCTAGATTCTGCGTGCCGATTTATCGCAACAGAGATTGGTTCTCATGCAAATGAATTGGAGTGCACTCTGTCAGGCTGTGTCTTAAGTTGTAGTTGAGATCTTCTTTGACAGAAAGAGCTACAAACGTGATTACAACCGATTTGAGGCTGTTAAGTTGAGGCAGAAATGTTGTGGGAAGGATACGCTTTTGCGGAACGCATATGATGCGTTCGTTCTGATGAAAGGGTTAACAAAGTTTTTAATCTCTTCCTTGTCTCACCTCTGGAACAAAATTAATCAGTTTGAATTGATTAAACTATTTATAATTTAAAACCTCCCTGATTCTCCTTATTTTTTTAAAAAAATAACATATTTATGTACAGGATTAATTATGAGGACTTGAACCTTTGTTATTCATAATTATGATTTTATGAAAGCAGAAATTCAATTAATATAACTATAGAATTGCTTAAAAAATAAGAATTTTCAGATTTCTCTTTTTTTTCCTGACACAGGTTGGTTCTTTGTGTATTGAAATAATTGATTACGAGCTGAAACGGTATGATGAGTGGAAGTCAAGTCTTGAAAATCAAGAGAAAAAGGATGAACCCAAACCATCCCGTCTGCCTGTTCGAATGACCAAATCCGCAATTGATACAAAACGACCGAAAAGTTCCGGTATTCCAATCATGAAAACAGACCCACGAAGACACTCATTGCATGTAGATGATAAATCCAGGTCCAACTCTCCTGTATCAGTTGGAGGTAATTTTTAGTATATTTTTCGTCTAAATTTTCTTGATTGAAAAATCCAACTATATATAGCAAAATAGTATTGGCTTCAGGGACTCAGTGAATTCATGTTATGTAGCAGGTCTGAGGCAGCCGGAGAGTGCTTGAATGCTTCTTAGTTAATCCAAGAGCACATTCATAGTTTGAAAAACTTAATAGGGAGGTTCTAATGGACAAGTTTCTTTCACAAGAATCTGCGTCTTGCATGGAGCAAAATGAGGATCAAACATTCCGTCAATAAATTTCATTTGTTCTTCCTTTTGATCGGTGCAATGAGCAGTATTGCTCAACCAAAAGGGAGATCTAGATTTGTAAAGATATCTAAGATTTATCATTTTAGATTTACTGTGGTTAAATGAAGATCTTTATTTTTTTTCTGCCCTTTGTTTGCAGAACGGCGGCAAAGTGAAGGTCTGAAACTCAGCACATCAGTCACGGAAATTGCAGGGGACAAAAATGAGAGATCAGCTCAGAAGTTTGAAGCCCTAGCTCGGAAACAAGACCAACTTCTCCGAAGTAAGTTCCTTTTGAGAGACATGTAGGTTTTATCAGAATTTCCATTTTCAAACTCTATTGACCTCGTAATATGCACTCGGTACAACATTGTTTCTCAAAAGAAAAAACGTAACTTCATTTCAAAATTACAAAATTTCCTTATACAAATGTAATTTTTTTTATTAATCTGTTCAGCATTTCTAAATGAAAATGTCTTTAATTTTTCTGCTGATTTTATGAAAAAATCAGCACACTTTTTGACTATGTAAGCTGTGTGTTGTCTTTTGTTGTTCATCTATTTTTGTTTTTNCAATTCTGATGCGATCAATCCGCAATTCGGTCGGGAATCGTGACTTTTAGCATCAAGACCCCCCCTTTACCCCCCAAGGGAGGGTGGGGGGGTTTCGGGACCACGAAATTCGGATTCCTGGGGGTCAATTCCCTATTCAACCCCGCGGTCCCCGACTTCGTACGACCTAAAACAACCGAGAAAAAGGCCTGGTACGGGTGGTCTGAAACACCCTGTATTTTTGTTTTTTATAAGTATTTTTGTTGAAACATATGGATACAAATTAGTAGTAATATTGAGTTGATCCTTGCTAAAAAATCATTTGGTAATTCTTAATAGGTCAAACATAAAAAACAAAGTTAATAATGACTATTATACCATAAATAAATAATACTTGTGGTTTTTATTAACTCAGAAACTTAGCAACGAAAATTTTGTTTTTTAATCGTTTAATTAATTATAAAACTGCAAGTCTTATCGATTTATCACTCGCCAGAAAGGAAAAAGAAAAATGATTAAAGACAAGCCCTTCCTACTTACCTGAACACTACCTTGCATCATAAAATTTTGAATAAACAAAAATGAATCTTACTGGTCTACCAGATCAATTTGGATATTGAACAGTCATTAATTCTTTGCATTATTTTTACCTCTTTGATTTCAGTTAGTTTTTATATGCTGCTTAATATCTCAGAAAACACTAAAGTGGAGGACAAGATGCGCAAAAAGAACATTGTGGGGCTGTTGATCCGAACTTTGGATCGAAACACAGTCGAGCTATTAGTTTTGGTGGTCATGTTTCTAATGAAATTATCAGTGTATCGTGAAAACAAAGACAAAATGGTAAGTGCCCTTGATGCCCAAGCAACTTGTTAGAAGGCTAAATGATAGTCAACCTTTTTATTTGAGTCATTTAGATGCATTAGAAATCTTACAGAGGTAATATTTTGTGGAATAAATACTTATAGAACCTCCAGGGCCACAGTAATAAAACACACAACAATTTTGTTGGCAAGTTTGGAAATCTTCTCGCATTTCTCCTTCTCTTCCTCATCTGCTACACCCTTTGTTTGAGCAGGTACTAATGGTTGCACAGGAACCTAAATGATATTACCATTTCAATGGTTAAAATAGTTAATTCCAATGTGAACGTTTGGCATATTGCAGATTTACTCACAGTCTATCGTGAAGTGACCATTTTTCCACATAAATATTTAATATATATATTTTTTTTTAAGTTCTAATACTCCACTTTCATTCCTATACAGGCTGGGGAACTGTGGATGCAGAAGGTGTAAAGTTGTTTTACAGTCTGGCAAGTTTCAGCCTTGCTTGTGGCAAATTAAAAACTTCATATAGTACTCCTCACTGCTAAATGTGAACTGCAAAATATTAAACTCCAGTAGGGTTCAACATAGTTGGATTTTTGTACCAAAATGTGCTGAGATTCTCCTAAGTACGTGCCAATACTAATACTGAACAACCTTTTGTTGTTTTTCTTAGGCGGAACTAAACATTATTGATAAGCTACCCAGGCTTTTCATGATTGGAGACAAGAATCTTGAAAGTGCAACAATCAAGTTAGTGTACAACCTATCTTTTGACTCATTTCTTCGGGAGAAGATGATAAGAGATGGTTTCTTGCAAAAACTGGTGACTCTACTCAATGATTCCCAACATGCTATGTTTGTGATGGGAACCATGTATCATCTGAGTCTTGATGATCGCGTTAAAGCAATGTTTGCTTACACTAATTGTGTGCCTTTGGTAATCAATATTTTTTAATTTTTCTCTCTATTTTCAACTAGACCTCTTGTCACTAATGCCGTTGTTTTACTAATGCCATTCATAACTCACAAATTAAAACAGAACTTCTTTTACTTGTCCTTTGAAAAATTCCTGCTCAATCAAATTTTATTTTTTTTATTTTTATGTATGTTAACATCTGTCAGTCATTTCAATTGAGTTATAAATAAAACATTAACAAAATCTTGAATCAGTATGAAAAAAAAAGCTATGACAAAACTAAAGAGCCTCCCAAAATAAGGGCTGACATTCGCCCCTTTTTCGGTATTCCATTCGACCATCGAACCAAGATTTAAGTGGAAGCTTATAATAACAGAAAACTCAGGAAAAAATTTCAAGATGAGTATAGGAACCGTTCTCGAGTTACGAGGGGACAAAGGGGTCAAACTCTGGCCTTATTTTTCTCTATTTTCTTGTTGAATTCATGTGTCTATGGGGTTGTTATCGTTGTTTACACATGTTATACACACCGATTCCTACGTATTTTTACACGCAAAATCGAGTTTTAATGTTGACGAATCCATATATCGATCGGTTATATCAATTTTTTTAGATTCTTTACGGAAAATCGACGATTTTTTAAGTTTGAAATTTTTCATTTTTGATTCATGGATGACTAAATGTACTTAATATGACTGAAGTACACCAAAACCTACGTATTTTTTCTTGTAGAATCAATTTTTAACGTTAACGAGTCAATATATCAATCACTTATATCGAATTTTTGCGATTTCTTAGGAAAATCAATGATATATTGGTATTGAAATTGGCTATTCTCCATCCATGAACAACCAAATTTTCGGTTGGAACACATTTTCAGTCGGGTCGATTTCCAGTTGAGTCAAGTTTTCAAATCGAATACCGGAAAAGGGTCGAAATTTTGGGAGGCTCTTTATTTCAATTTTAGTATAAATCTTACTAAATATCTGACTTATCAGAGGAAATGTGATACTGCAGCATCTTCACTACTTTTTCTATTCTATAATATCAATGAGTTTCTAGGTTTGCTCAGTATATTATTAAAATCTTATTTTTTTCTGCTTTTCAGATAATTGATATGCTGATAAATGCAAAACCTGATGAACCACCTGACACTTTGCTGATTGCTTTATGTATCAATCTAGCGCTCAACACACGTAATGCTGAGATCATGATAGAGAATGGTCGTCTGAAGAAACTAATGCATCAAGCATTTGAATACCAAAATGGATTACTGATGCAATTGATTAGAAATATTTCCAAACATTCCACAACTAAACATAATTTTATCGTGAGTACTGAAGATACCTTATCAACGGAAAATGCTTAGGATGAAACCTCATGGCCCAATTATTCTCCCCATCCTATGCATTAAATTAGGTTTGGTACCGATGAAACACATGAGTTTTATTTTCCTTCCTGAATTAGACAGAAAAAATCTCACGGTGACAAAAAGACATATCTTGATTGTTCCTTGTCAAAATCTTCCTTTTTTTCCAGAGAATACTGCTAGGAAGTTTGTACCAAACCTCTAAAAGAGGAAAGAAGAATGCCAAAAAAAATTATGGGATAATCTTGCTCAGTCATTCTTCAAAAATATAATAAGTAACAGGAGATTTTTGAACTGAAAGCAGAGATATATGATTTTCTAGTTTTGTTAGAATTACTTTTATCTATTGCTGCACGATTGTTTGTAAAATCATCCATCCTCAAGCTTGTTTGTTATGCTTTTTTCTAGGAGTATGTAGGCGATCTGGCAAAAGTATTGACATCCTGTAGCGATGAACTATTTATGTTTAGCTGCTGTGGCATTTTAAGTAACATGATCATTCCTGAACTAGACTTTGATCAGCTGATCAAACAATACCATCTTATTCCATGGATAAAGAAGTATTTAAAATCAGGTAACAATATTATAAGATTTCTCAATGATCTTTTTATTTTATTTTATCTGTATCCTCTCTGTTAGAATCTCAAAGCGTTACCCATTAATTTCTTAATCCTGGTTTTGATTACTTTTCTTCAGTTGCTAACTCTAATTTCTGCATCCTCATCTGAAAATTTTATGACTTGCGATTCTATCACATTACTTGCAATTCTCACCTATGGTGCTTGATTGTAAAAATGTTTAAATTTTACCTCTATAATTCAATCATTCAATTTGTATAATTTTGAAAAGTATTCTTAAAGTAGCAGCCAGATTGTTGTAATAATTGCTAACTGAACAAGGTAAAACTATAAAGGAATGAAGTTATGTGATTGGTTGGTTTTGTATGTTGCCCTCTTTGTTTAGCCTGCGTTGGATGAATTCAACGTTAAAGTATCGGCAACTCAGAAAGTGACTTTAGTTTCTTGCCATTTCACCCAACATAGTTACAGTTAAGAGGACGTTTGGCAGAGCCAACCTATGAAATAACTTCATTCTTCCTTAGTCTTGTCATGCCTGGTAGACAAAAACAAAATTTCAATATTCAGGCTGCAGGTACAATCAGTGAACTTGAAATTAATTTGGAACTGCTGGCACTGAATTCTTTAGTCAATATGTAAATCTCGTGCTTAGTTGCTTGCCAGGAGGGCTTGATTAGAAAAATTTCCCCTCTCATACTTATTTTTTTTTTCCACTTTTTTTCTGTCTTTACAGATAATGATGACAAGATCCTAGAAATCATTGTTTTTATTGGGACTGCTGCTGTTGATGATTCATGCGCGGAGTCTCTCTGTAGAGAGAACATTCTAACTCTTCTTATTGATATCTTAAAAGGTGATTCTCAAATTTATGTAATAGTTAAACCTAGTTCTAATACCTCAAAATCAATAATTTCCAATAAGAAAAGCTAAAAATTTGTGAGAGGAAAATATCAGAATTTTAAAACAATGCATTTTCAAGAAAGTATTAAATGATCATAACTACAGTAAAATCATCAAGCCACGCATCTTAATCTTTGTCAGTTTTAAATCATGAAGATTGTCAAATCGAAAAATCTCAATAAGCTGAACTTTCATACCGAATTTCACGATATTCTATGCGTAGCTCTTCAAGCACTCTGTTCTTCCTCTTCTTGACTCTCTATCTTCCTGTATGTGATTCTCTTTTGTCACTTGATTTTCATATGATATTTTCAACTCTGAACTCTCGATTCTTTTAGCCAAGCAAGAGGATGATGAAATGGTGCTTCAAATAATCTACGTTTTCTACCAGATGTCTCGTCACCCAGTCACTCGGGACCTGCTGATAAAGTCAACCGAAGCACCCGCTTACCTAATTGATCTCATGCATGACAACAATCCGAATATTCGACGTGTGTGTGATGCTTGTCTCAACTTTATCAAGGTAAAATACTTTTACTCAAGAATCAGAGTTCACCACAGTTGGACGTTTTTCTGCCTCAGAGAACTGTAGACGAGTGAGAAAGGTGGGGTGTGCTCATTAAAGCTGCATAAGAAACAATCTTAAAGTGGGCATGATTCCGTTTGGAGGAATAGAAAAGCGGGATTTTACATTCTGTCAAACGGAACTATGTGACAACTGAGTGCGGCACTCATGAGCCATGGGCATGTGACAAGAGTGTTGTACACAAGGCTCATGAGTCAGTGACTCCCATGCAGAGCCGCAGCGGCGGGTTTTTCACTGCTGACGTCACTGGCGCTGAAATATGAGTTTAAAAAAAAATCCTGAGTGGGACTATTTTTTAAATAAGCCAATCAATTGTTTCACATACAAGAAAGGACCCCGCACACCTCTTATGGGAAGCTGCACCATGACGGATTGCCTTCTGACTTATGTCATTCGATTCTCCTCAAGATGCTGATCAAAAGTTATAATTGCGCCAACTTTCTACGGTGCACCGTTTTCGCAAGAAACCTGAGAGAAGATTCAATTATTCGGCGATAAAAAGCCAGAAAGATTTCGCATTTCACTACTCGAGTGAACAAATCAGGGGAACTCCCGCACTGAGCGGCAGTCTTATCTCGGATTCCCCTCGCCGTTTTGCTCGACCATCCAAATCAGATTCTTGAGGAGCATAAGAACAGGAAAGTCTGAACGTCTACCGGGCGAGTGCGGGAGGGAGATAGCCCCTGAGGCGGCAGGTACAGATAAGAAGACGGACACGTGCTACGTTTTTTCCTTATTTACATCGGGCCTGTCCTCAAATGCTTTGTTCTTTTTTATTCATAGTCGCCAAATAATTAAATCTTCTCTTAGGTTTTTTGCAAAAACGGTGCATCGTAGAAAGTTGGCGCAATTATAACTTTTGATCAGCATCTTGAGGAGAATTGAATGACATAAGTCAGAAGGCAATCCGTCATAGTGCAGCTTCCCATAAGAAGTGTGCGGGGTCCTTTGCATTTTTAATCTGAAATTTGAAGTTACTGACTTAGTCATACTTATTTCAAGTTTTCTGCCGTTAAGATCATCTCACCCAATATGACACTTGAAGGTTTTATGATTTTTCAAATTTTTGGTGATGTCCTCTTGGTCGAAACAGCTGTTGTATTTTTAAAATGTAATTTTCAATGAAGAATCAGTTTCAAAGGCCAACTCTTTCCTTCTCATGGATGAGTCTTTTGTTCCTCCGCTCATGCTGCATCTCACACTGTGAGCCACCAAAAATTTAACATAACTTGTGGTTGAGTATACGCTGGGCCTTACCTTGTCAATAGGAGAATGGTTTGAGACTTTTGATTATTGCTATCTGAAGGTGAGGGTTTGGACCACAACTTCAGCATAATTACGACATAGTGGGATTATGTTGTTGCAATGGAGGGGGGCTCGAAGCACTGGTAAGATGTCACTCTCTTTCTTCTTTTCTTTTAGTTGCTTGGTGAATTCTAATATTTAGAGATAAATGAAAAGTAAAATCGTGTTAATTTTTTCCCCCTCTTAGTTATATGACAAAGAATGGGCCGAGAAAATCAAAATTGAAAAATTCACCTGGCACAACTCTCAATGGCTGGAGGTGGTCGAAAACAAAACTCTAGAGAGCTCACCGTCGTTGATGAATGATGATAGTGAAATATTCCCTCGCTATGACTTATTCCAGCAATCAATGCTCTTCAATGCTGGTTCTCATGCATCAATTCCTGGTGTTACCGGTGATGACATTGAAATTTTGTCCAACAATCCTCTCTCTGATGAGGATAGTCGGCCGAACAGTAGGTAAGTCACTTTTATCATTTGCTTAACTATTTAGCAATGTATGTCCTCGAAAGATAAAGATGGATATGTCTGTGATCATTCACAAAAAAGAAACCTAGGCGAGTAAAAAATCACAATTAAATGGCCGGATTCAGCCAGACTGCATTTCACGGTTCCTAATGTTCTCTCATGCTCTATCCTTTTAACAGAGAACTGAACTACCTAAAGCCTTTTAACCTTTATGAATTAAAACAGTACACCACACGTTTTCTCCTCAAAATTTCATGAGGAAAATAAGTCACACTTCTGGAAGTCTGGAAATTGACTCGTCAACAAGATTTTAGGTGTTTACAATGGGCCTGTTGCGCTGGTCACAGAATCGTTTATTGATGCTTGGTTCTTATAGATTAGCCAAAAATAATAGATCTTCTCAAACGGCAACTTTCGACGTTGAGTCTGGATATTGTGCTTTGAAAAATTCGGTTTATGACGTCATTCACCAAGGTAGTGACACCTTTGGTTTTTTCTACCTCGTATTCATTCAAGTTACACGTCGAGTAACCAGTGCAAATATGTGCTACCCTGACTGATGAAAGCAAGGCGGAAGAAACCAAGAGTGTCACTATTGCGGTGGAGTCTTAAACCGAAATTTTCAAAGCGCAATATATTGGATAATATTCAGTGTAGAAAGTTGCTACTTGGACAGATCTTATTATTTTTAGCTAATCAACAAGCATCAAGCACCAAAACACAATTCTGTGACCAGCGCAACCGAGCCATCAACATCGGTGCAAAAATACAAATGACATAATTTGTATCAGCTAATTTATATGCAATTCGTGTTGACAGGACCTGTTGCTATCTTGTTCAGGAGTACAAACTTCCTGTTGTGTAAATCGTTTTTCTTGTGAAATTTTGAAAGGATTGCTTCTGATAGTTCCCGCTAGCTCAGACCATGTCTAGTTGCTCCTCAAAGCTTCAGAAGCAAGAGGCAATTAAGCTCTCAAGGCTGCAAATTTTCAGGGACCAGTGAGTAGCACCCAGGTTCCTCATTGGAGGAAGTTATTTGTATGTCTCTTATACTTCTTGGAGAGTTGACAGGTTCTTTTTCTGATTGCAGATATGAAGCGAGTGATTTTGACGAATTTGATTTAGAGCTAGCACAAGCACAGCGTCCTGAAACGGAGAAAAACTTGCAATTTATGAGAAAGAAAACGCCTATCATGAAGTCCTCGCTCAATGGTGTTGAGGCGGTTCGTTATGAAATCGATGAAACAGACGAAGATGATGATGAATGTTGAAGTTGTCATGAAGTTTGAATATCTATTGAACCAAAATTATTCATATTTAGAGTAAAGCTGGTTGAATAGACATCTTAATTCAGCAGGTTTTTTAATTTTGCACTATGTATCAGCACGGCTTAGGGGTAACACGTGCAAGAAATTAGATCGTATGTGCTTTGGCAACAAACTTATGAAAGTCTGCTTTTCTAGTTTATTTTAATTCCTTTTTCTTGTATAAGTATATAAAAGAGAAGAGCTTTTCGTGGCTAGGAAACTTTTTTTTTTGACTCTTACGAATTTGATGTGATTTTTTAGAACAAAATGCAATCCTTTTCTGAGTGATAGAACTTGAATGAAATTTTTTCAATATGTATTTAATTTTGTGGAAGGAGGGAGTTTTTTTTGTTGGCGCACCCTTTCTAGTTCAATTCTGTTTGTTTCTGTGTTTTACTTTATACATTTTTATAGTCATTTCTTTTTGCGCGTCGATTTCACATGTAGTCATTTGTTTTTTCTTATTATTTTATCGGTACTTTTTTGTATCCATTGTTATTTCATTTTTCTTATGCGTAGTAAGTTTTTGTTGTGATATTTTTATTATCAGTGCATTTTCACAATTTATATCCACCCATATCCTAGGAGTACTCATCTAAATTCATCATAGGCAGCATTATTATTTCGTGCACAAAGTTTAGAAGTAAGAAATTGGAAACCATCAGTTTTTTAGACTGAAAAACTTACAATTGCTAGTCTTTTTGATCACTTAAACAAACATGTGTAGTTTTTTTTATTTTTATCTGTGATTTTATGTCTTATTCTAGTTTCTTTTTTTTAAAAATGAACTTGCATACTTTTACTTTGTTTTTTCTTTTTCTTATTTTAAGTAGACATAGAAAATGTAACAAAGACGCCGAAGGTTTTTTGTCAGGAACCATCCTACAAACTCTTTGTTTAGACTTTTTTTCTTCTCTCTTTCTCTACTCTCTACTCTTATTCCATTGTGCAGTGGGATAAGAGTCAGCTTTATTTTTTGAGTGTGATTAATTTTTAAGTTAACGAATTAATCTGATTCTTGAACAAAATTTCTGAGGATTTATATTTTTGTAATATTATCTAGTCTATTTAGATAAATCTCTACTGTTAAGGACACTTTTAAAAAAATTGTTCATATTTTTCTTCTCTGGAACTGTTCGCTCTCTTAAGTCATTGATTACAATGGTTGATTGGCTTCTTTCCTCCTCTTACCTTTCTACATTTTTGAAGAGCACCCATGTTATCATTTCTGTTTACCACAAAATCTTATCACATTTCAATTTAAACGTTTATGTTGTTCAATTACTTGTCGCTAAGATAGTCTTTTCTGTGAGCAGATTGTTTTTTGTGTTTGCCTACAGAATGGAACAAGTCTAAGGTGAAATAGAGTGGGATCGGTTTGTTGCATTACTTGCTTTTGTTGTCGTGCTTATCAAGTTGTATTCCTGTCAGTTACCAAAGAGGCATCTTGCGAATAACCCAAGAAATTATCAACCAATCACTTAGCTCTGTTCCACTTTGGTCTCATCTTATGTTGTTGTAAACAAGTACAATTTTAAAAAAAAAAACACCCTGTCAACTGTTGGATTGTTAAAAATAAACCTAGTTTCTCAGTTCCCATATCAATAAAACGTACGCATACTTTCACTCATATCTGTTCAATTCTTTTTCCCTTATTTTGTTTGATTAGGTTTTCTATCATACAAACAATAGTACTCAATAGAAAATTACTACAAAAATGAATTTATCACAGTGGCTTGAATATAGGACTACTAAGTTTTTGTGAGATGAATATGGATCCATTTTTTTACCAGAAAATAAGAATATCTCCCATAATGTTTTTTGTAGATAGAATCGGCAAAATTTGTCAGCCTTCTCGAAACTCTGGATCTACTTTACCATTTGCAACAGAGTCTAGGGCCCCAACGACTAGAAAATTGAAATTTTTACAATTTAATTTCTGCTGATATGAATCTAAACCTCAGAATAACTAAAACTAGAAGTATTTTGTCTGACGTGACAAAAAGTATGTTTTCCCACAAAATTGTTGCTTTCTCACAATCAAGGAGCAACCCATAAGAAAGTACATAGTCAGAAAGAGAAAGGTTAACCCCATAATGATTTGTAACCATTTTTGAAACTTGTTTCAACATGGTCCCATTATTGCGCACCAAAATGTATCTACTTGTTGATAGTTTTGCAATGTCTCGCACCAAAAAATTCAACTAAACACCCCTATCAATCAGTAACACTCAAACAAGATAGAGATGTCTCAAATGGTCACAAAACAGTTACAATTGTCACGTCAAACAAAATTCGGCCAGATTTTCTCTCATTTTAAAAGCATGTGTGCCAATTATTCTGGAAGAACGCTTGAAGCTCTAATTTATTTTTTTCAGGATAATAGATAGGAAAAATGAAATCAGATGAACAACTCATTTCAGTGTAAATATTATACTTATAATTTAACATAAATATGACATTTTGTATTATACAATTAGTTGACCTGTAATAGATTTAGGTTATCTTTCATCTGGAATGGGAGCACCGTTAACAAAAGAAGATTCCAGATCGTACAATAAAATTAAAGGTAACACAAAAATATATATAGGTATATATATATTTTCATACATAAACTCATAAATAACAATAGAGATGTACATATATACAATGGAACGCGAAAGACATACTGGCACGGAAGCAAATGCAATGTGCACACACAACTAACGATGATAATATTGTTATTCAACTCTGCTCAAGTGTGTAATTGCTAAAAGTCTTCGAGTCTTTATCTAGGCACTGAACAAGGCAATGATACGCAAGTGAGTGCAATGTCCAGCATTCAAAAAATTAATTTTCCGGGGCAATCATACGGTAAGAAATTCAAGTCATTCTAAATTTGTAATCAATATTCAGATCGCCCAGGCATAAATGAGGTACCTACAAAAAAAATGATGAATCTATTTTAAACTGTGCAAGAAATCCTACTAATGCTAGGTACGCAGATCCTAGTAGCAAAAATACGTATCCATATCTCCACTGAAATTCGTCTCTGAAAAATACACATAAATATCGCATTGAATACGTATTTATACTGTTTTAATACTGTATTAGAATATTGTATCCAAATACCGGTAATTATACCAGATATTAAAAATTGCGCGCCACTTGGCTGCGACGGTACGGTACGGGTGAATGTATCCGACAAACTGCATGGACCGAGGCACCCGGGCCTCCCACCATATGCGAGAAACAGGAGCCATTTAACTAGTTCTAGCCACCGCCGCCGCAGCGCTACCTAGTCAACACTTTGCCACACACCCATTTCCACAATCCCAATGCCCTTCTTATCAAAATTATCTGTATGAAAAATAGCCCGGAGGCCACATTCCTTCGACCGTCGACCGGAAAAACCTCCATCAGATCGGCCCTTCGTTCGACTGATACACGCCAGAACCCGGTTTTTCCCGAACTGCAGCAAAAATTTGAAACATGCAATTTTCCTGGAATTTTCTCTATGCCCCTACTGCTTACCTAGAAATGGAAAAAAATGAAAATCGTGTATAAAACTTTCCTTCCACCGAAAAAACCTCTATCAGATCGGCGCTTTGGTCGACTTGTCCGGGCCGGAACCCCGTTCTTTTCGGACTGTAGAGAAAATTCCAAAAATACAATTTTCCTGGAATTTTTTCTGGGCTCCGTCGGCATACCTGGGAATGTGGAAAAATGAAAATCGTCGTGTAGAAAACTTATCCGCCACGGGAAAAACCTCGATCAGATCAACTCATAGTTTCGCGTCGGAACCTCGAAGTTCAAATGCTATTAGAAAAATTCGAAACATACAATTTTCCTGGAACTTTTTCTAGGCAACCATTGCATACCTGAGAGTGGGAAAAAATTAAAATTGTCGTGTAGAAGACTTTCTTTGCGCCGAAAAAAGTTTTCGTTTTCGGGGGGGTTTTTGTTGTGTGCGAAGTTTTTTACCCTACGATTTTCGATTTTCATTTTTTTCCATTCTTAGGTATGCAGTGAAGGCCTAGAAAAAGTTTCAGGAAAATTGTTTTTTTCAAATTTTTTCTAACATCACTTGAACTTTGAGGTGAATCCGCAAAGTATGGCGCCACACAAAAGCATTTTTTCCAAATCCGAAAACGCGTGTTTGCTGTTGATCATTGTCACAGATCTGTGGGTGGAATCAACAGCACTTGCGCCATTTTATCAGGTAAGAGGAATACCGCGGAAGAGCTGTTGATTCCCCCCACAAATCTGTGGCAGAGATCAACATAAAAAATCGGTCACTAAACAGCTGTTGAAACGCGCAACAGAAATTTCCCCCACAATCCAACTTTCACTTTCAAGTTCATTCCTAAAGTTGAACTTCGAACAGCTTGATAGCTTTTTCCCTAGAGACTCTAAGCTTACAAACTTCCAGGTGAGATAAGCCTCACTGAGATCTTCCCCACGATACATAATTGCCTATCGCCTGATTAGAAGGCGCCAATGAGCCCCACGGAGAAAGGCGTCACAGGGATTTCTCCCACAACACACGGCACACGCCTATCACTTGAGTTGAAGGCTTAAACAAACTCTACAAAGATATGTCGGCCAGAGGTCGAGCTCACAATACAGGAAGGGCTGGCACCCGGATTGAGGGGGAACTTGCCATTCTTTGAATTTCGGGGAATATTGAAAAATCTTTTAAGTTTCCTACTTTTAGGTAATGTTCACTTTATAACCATTAGGTCTTTGTCCATCCCTAGTAACAAAACTGTTTCTCCTCTCTCATTTTTCAAAATGGCAGTTGAGACAATATCCCGATCTGCATCGGCCTTTGCGATTAATACCTCAATACCAACTTTTTTCAACTTCTCTCTGATGGCTAAGGTGAGCTTTTATTGTTATGTGAGTTTGAGAGAAATTCAGCCTCCGTTTTTGTGCATTTCATTTCTGACGTAAAATTTATTGTGGCGAATTTTTTTTTTTTTGCTCCTCTAAATTCGTCACCTTCTGACCAACGTATAACAAACGCCGCTTTGCTAGCTTTTCAGGAGACACGAAAATCTGATTTGCGACCGCATCAGACGGACTTTCAGCTTGAAACTTGGATTCTGATCAACTTCCTGCCTTGAATTTCAATGTAATTTCTTTTAAAAAAAACATTTTTGCGCTTGAGATACAACGTTCTCGGAGCATTCTGAGAACCTCTGGCGCTTGTGATTATACGAAAGTTCATCAAACTTAACGGAATTTTTTTCATATTTATTCTTTTTCAATCAAAAACAAAATATTATTTTTGTACATAAATGGAGGCATCTTATTAACTCAATTTTGATAAAAATAACGCTTGTGATACTCTGATCGGAAAGTGACGAATTGTTCCTGGTCATTCCAAATGTTGTTGATACTGAAATTGTAAGCAAAGTCCTGAGGATAAGCGATTATCCGACTTGGCGCTTGTGATAGTTTGCTCTCAAATAGCGCTTGTCATACAAAAGTTCATCAACTTCAAAAAAGCATTTTCCATATTGATTTATTTTTATTCTGAAAAAAAATGTTATATTTGAAATGACGAGATACTCTTCCATATGAAAATAATTTAGCTTCAAGTCATTCCAAGGGTTGCTGTGACAAAAATTGTAAACAATCAGAAAGGTGAGCGGTTGCTGAACTTGGCGCTTGTGATACTCCTCTGCCAAATGGCTCTTGTGATATGAAAGTACATCAACTTTAATCGATTTTTGTTCATATTTCTACCTTTTTGTTCTAAAGAAAAAGTATTATTTTCGTACATAAATGCATCTCATTATTTCGAAACTATTCATAACTCAATTTCAGTAAAAATGGCGCTTGTGATACTTTGGCCGGAAATTGACAAATTGTTCTTGGGCTTTTGTGGTCGAATGAGCATGATAACCGCCAAAAACAAAAGGTGATTGCTCCCTGTAGGTACACCATTTAAAAGCACAGGATACGTACTTGTTGACAATAGCTCGCAAGGTATCAAGTTTCGGCTAATTAACAGAGGTTAAAAAATAGCCACCGTCAATGACATGTCAAATTTTCTCCTTAAATTTTTTATTTTCGATTATACTTGCGGAAAACAATGACATAACCCGCGATTTCTTACTTTTTCTGATCATAATATTAATTACATAGAAGCAAATGCAATGTGCACACACAACTAACGATGATAATATTGTGATTCAACTCTGCTCAAGTGTTTAATTGCTAAAAGTCTTCGAGTCTTTATCTAGGCACTGAACAAGGCAATGATATGCAAGTGAGTGCAATGTCCAGCTTTTGAAAAATTATTTTTCCGGGGCAATCAAACGGTGAGAAGTTCAAGTCGTTTTAAATTTGAGGCTCAATTTGATTTTATCAGGTGCTGGTTTACCTACTTGCTTTTGAAGATACTAAAAAAAGAATAGGTAAGATGAACAAAGAGATTGAATAATCTGTGTGTAATAAAATTTTGACTGTATTTTAATCCTTAGGCCGAGTAAATGTTTAGTTTTTCAGTGAAATAGGAGGGTTACTTGGAGAAGTATGTACAAATTTAGACGCTAGACATTGCAAACCCTCTCTTGAGTACAATTCTTTCTTGCTAAGCAATATGTACAATATTAAATACATTCGGACTATTTACAGGTAAAAAATAAATACTGTAAGAACGGTCTAATTCCACACTCCCTCGAGAATCTGCATTTATTTTAAGTACAAATACTTAGTCACCTACTCTCTTATGACTGCTGCACGTTTCTTCGGCTGGAACTCTTCAATCTAAATTTTTGTCCTTTCCAATCTTCTGCCTGTCCATCAGTCTCTAAAACCGAGGAGGCTGGTTTGGTACTGGCTAAAACTATTATATTCAGTGAAAACGGATTTCTTTGATACACTGAAAAAACTAAAAACCCATTAAAAAGATGCTTAAAAGTTTGAAAAAAGGGGCAGAAACAGAAAAAAAATTACAAAATCATTTTTTTCTCTTTTGAATAGGCTTTGTTTCTAAAATACGAGTAATTTGGTTAATGTATAAATCATCATATGGATTTATGCTGGATACAAATTGGAAATATTTTAAAATTGATGAGACAATGAGGTTATGTGCCAGACATAGACCTCAGAGTTACCAAAATAAAACTTAAGAGCCTTCACGGCTAACTCGGGATTTACAGATTAAAATTTTGCGGGAGGCACAATAAGATTCAAAGGTAAAATAAAGGACAAAACTTACAAACATTGACATGACACGGTACAGAGTGAGTAGGTATACTCTTTTTCTTCAATAGAAATTAAACTGGTTAATTAACAGAAAGAGTAAAACATAATAAAATTAAAACAACAAGTGCTTAACAAGAAAGAAAGGCTAAAATAATAAAACAGGTATCAAACGATACAAAAAATAGTTTACAATTTTTATAAAAATATATATTTACCATTGCAAAGAGGAATATTTTTAGTCCAGATATGTTCAGAGTAGTTCCCAAATACGGAACAAAAAAGCCACAATGTTAGGTTTTAATTTCCCTTTCTCCTTAAGAAGTAGCGGAAGATCTACCTTAAGGAGACAATTAAAATTTAGTTATCTAAGAGATAGGCTTCTTATCAGTTTGATTGTTGAATCTTGATATAACATTGGAAAAAACTGTATTTATATACTTTGGGTGAAAACAAAGCACACCGTTAATTAAAATGGAACAGTCTGGCTAACTGCGTGATAATAAATAGGTGTTTCATTGGATTCGATTAAAAAAACAATGAATAAATAAATAAATAAAAACATAGATGAATGAATAATACTATATTTTATAGTGGGGACTTCAGGGATTCAGCCACCTGAACATCAAAGCAGGGTTGGTCCCATATCAGATAAACTTGAATGATGCAGTTATGACTGGATTGCAGATTTTACTTCGAATTTTATCAAATCAACTGATCCATTTTACAGTAGCCCCAAAAGGCTGAAATTATACATTAGAGAGAAGTTGGTTTTTTTTTCTGCTCTTCTCCACCACACTTATACGGACCAGATGGCAAATCACTGATGCCACCACAGATAAAACAATTGAAAAACATACAGCAATCACAAGATGGGTAATTTTAGAGATGAGTGGATAAATGCAGAGGCTGATGTTAGTATCATACAGGACTTCAGACATCCACTCACAGGAAAAGAACCGCATATTCTGTGCCCTCCAAAGGAGAATTTTGCATAACCGTCAATTTTACATCAAGTTACCGGCAGATTTTGGACTGGGTCTCATTTAATCAGGTTTGAATAACTACTAGGAGAGTTGCGATTCAAAGTTTTGAAAATAAGGCTTTAGATTACTAAAACATACATATATACTCACTAGTCTGAGACAAATTCCTTTTCCTATTGGATGCATTTTGGTCACAAGTAGCTGGCCATCATCTGTGAGTGGCATCCCAAATAATGGTCAGGTACTTATGGCTGAAACATGTCGGATTGGAAAGGAGATTTTGTCCCAGACTAAAGATATGTTACATATTTTAGTAATTGAAACCTTGTCTGGTACTTTCTGAAAAAAAAAGAATTATCCAGGCTTACAGTGTTGACTCATCCATGATGATACATGCTCGTAGATAAGGATTTTACACTCGTATATTTGCTGCGAGTAAACAAATGAAAAATAAGAGTATTGAAACCCTAACCTTGGACGATTAATTCTTATATTATTAGAGCAATGTTAAAAGTAAAATTAAACTGAGAATGTAAGAGGAAGAAATAATTGAGACTATGAAGGTAAAAATCAACTTTTAAGAAGTGATTTAAGTAATGATGAATCTGTAGAGAGAGATTACTGGAATTTAAGTTATAGTAAAGAGAACTATAATACCTTGAGAGAAGTGAACCTTTTTTCCTTCGTTTGATCTTCACTTTTTTTTCTTGAAAGAACATAAAAGCTTTTAACACATCAATGTAACAAGTATCAACTTGTTGAATCATGGGCAAACTGATTCAACTCATTTTTAGAACAAACCATGGGAAAGGTTAAACTAGACGCAGTCTTAAAAAATTTAAGGGAGGAGGCAGATATACAGTACAAGCGTAAAATCTTACTACTCACTTAAAATTTTTGAGTAAATGCATTCATAGACAGCTGATGATTAATATAGATAAAAGATAATTTAAGTAACAATTGAAACTTCATTCAAGAAAGAAAATGAAGACAAAAAATACATATGAAAATAGATTTCGAGCAGGCACTTAAGACCTTACAATATGTCGTAGATATTCTTCGCAATTGAAGGGACAGGCTGAAATTTAAGCTTATTTTAATTCCTCACAATTATACATCTATTTTAAAAATTTGGATCTCCTATGAAGCATCCATGGACGAAGAAGCTTCCGTGAATGAAGGCTCGTAAACAGTTGCGCTTAAAATGACACTGTTATTGATACAATACATGAGGGTTCTTTTTAATTTATCTGAATTGTTTAAAAAAATATACTGCATCAAATGATATTGTGTGACGTGCAGAAATTTGTATGTAAAAATTACCCTTTTGGAAACTTTGCAATTTACATTCACAGTATTAAACTTGAGGCTTACTAAGTCCTATGTTGCAGAAGGATCGAAATAATGATCTGTTTTTAAGGACTGAAATGATGTGTTACTACAGCTAGAAGGTTCTTGCTGATATTTTGGTGAGGAAAATTTCATTCATACATCTAACTGAGATATGGATATTTTTCTTTTAAATTTTCTAAAATTATCTTGGACTGAAAGAAAAACATGAATTGAAATCAAAGCCTCTGACAGGGCTCCAATTTTATTATTTAACCTGAATTTCAAGCCTTTTTTCTTTTTTTTCTGAATTTTCTGAATTTCTAAAATTAAGCTCTACAATGATCGTGACTTCCGACTAAAATTGTACAAAATAAATAAGATACAACATTCCAAAAATCATGCATGATGGAAGTATTATAAACGCACAGAAATGTTACCAAAATGCATTTGTACAAACTCGAAGCAACAAAGAAACCTGTGGTGATAGTGATTGGAAACTTAGGCCAATGCCAAACTTTGTTAGAAGTTTCAAGGGATATCACAGTAATCTTTTGCCAAAACAAGACTTGATGCAAAAAAGAAAGCTCAACATAGCAGATCATTCTGCACAGTACGGCGCTGAGTTAAATCAATGCAATCAACAGTGATATGCGGCGGCTGCCAAGAAGAAAAACTTCAGGCATAATTTTCTACCAACATACTATGGCACTGTTTCTGACATTCAGGTTGTATCGTCTAATTTTTCGCATGATTTTGTCTTATTTCCTTGGTTTAGTTTTGCGCTGGCTTCGGGGTTGTCTTCAACTCCGCTGCTCGTATCAATATCAGCTGGGCTCTGAAACAAACACATCAATGTTAACCAAAAGCTACTCAAGGCTGCCGTTTGCAACTCATAGGCGCCAGAGCTAGGGTAAACTAGAACCAAAGCGGGTACTCACATTGCTAAAAATGGACTATCCCCTCATCCAGATCGTTCAGACTTAGAGTGTTTAAATGGGCGATGCTGTTGCTGTTAGTCTGCTTTTCCTTGAATTTTAGTTAATTTTTTTAAATTTTATTGATTTAATTAGCATTTTGATGCTCTGATCTTTGGATATTTCAAGTTTCAGCAAAACTGCACTGGTAGTTTTCGAAAAATTTACCTCTAAAATCCGCTAGAATTCCTCCTATGCTTCGCTCATGGACGCATTTTCACGCTCTTCAGCTTCAAATCGCATGACTAATCAGCAAATAGATAGTCCATTTTTTTATTGGTCGATTGCTTCTCCGTTTAAGAAGGGAATGCAAATGCCTGCTCTGATTCTAGGTTACCCAAGCCAGAACCATGCAATTGTATAACCTGAACCTCGAGTTAGGTTAGAAGCGGTTCTGGTATAACCAACCCAATTGTAGAATTGATACACAGAGGGTGAATTTGATTTCTGACAGGGAAACAATTTATTTGCAAAGGAACATTTCAAAAAGGAACTAAGATTTTCCTTTAGCAGGATGGTGAAAACTTGTCACCGATTTATAAAACGATAATAATTTGAAGTTTCTAAACCAACTATACTTTATGGATTCCATGCTCAATACTGAAGTGATGTTGATAATGATGATCAGAGGCACGTTAGGAAATTCCAAGTTGAAGAGAATTGAAGAGGAAAAGAAAAAATTAAAATACTCGAATTTTCTGTATGATTTCAGTTCACTTAAGCTTCCTATTTGATTGCGCAATAATGAGCAGTATTTATCAGGAGATATGCAGTACAATGAAAAAATCACGGAAATCAAGTATGCAAAAAGGATTCAATAAAATCTACAAGCTAAAACAGTACAATCTGCACAGCATAAAATGCATAAGTTCTGCAAACCTCCACCATCAGCTACATCGTATCTACATGTAGAAATTGCAAGCTTATCCTTGCACTAACTGCTGAGGCGGTTTTAGGAGACGGGTGACCTAATCAAAAGGAAGTTTTCAAAAACAACAAACAAAAGCAAGAAAAGAAGCTGATTCTTCTCAACCGGGCAGAAAACTGACCATACAAATGGTTCAGATCTAAGTATGAGGAATGGATATTATATCGTTGCTAAAAAGAACCGGATCAGAAAAAAATTCAGACACTGTGGCCTGATTATTAAAACTATGTAGAAGACTTGACTAAGTCCTATCTTAACCATACAATATATTGCATTTTGATGCGTTATCGTGCTGGTTAAACTTTCAATTATCAGCCTGCTGTTTTTACAAAAGATAGTGCTATCAAGGGAGGTGTCTATTAATTCAAATGCAATACCTCATTCAATGCTGAAGAATCTAGTAGTTGCGAGTTGAGAGTTGAATCACCGAAACTATCATCACCTAGGAACAAAAGAGGCAAAGCATTCACAAGCGTGCAGCAATCAATATTGAACAAAATCAGAGGTGCAATTTCTGCTTAATTGAGAAGAAGAGGAAGAAGTAGATGACTTTAGATCTTAAGCATTATTTTATTGTTGTAAGCTTGAAATTCAATAATATACTTATTTTTAATGCTTCAATTTTTTTTTCATGACAAAATATTGAAAAAAGTAAACCATATTGGGGTTATGTTTAACATAAGATCACAACTTTTGATGCAATGATAGCATAGCGTTTTTTTCTTAAATTAGGGTTCAAAGATTACCATTAGATTTTGGAAGTTAAAGTTTCACCAAGATTTTTTTCTATTTTCTTTCTTACTTCATCTTTTTTTTTTATTTTTATTTATAAAATGAAGTTTTAACCCTGATTTCATTGCTCAAGTAGCAGAATCTGCACTGTTTTTAATGTTATTCTATCACAGCATTCGGTTTGTTTAGAGCAAGAAAACGGCATGCAAAGAAAATTCAAACCAACTGTTGAGCATTTTTGAAGGCTGTTTTGATAATATTTACAGTAATTACAGCAATCCATTGACAAACACAATGGATAATTTCGAAAACTTTCAGCCAGGCAAATTTAGAGCGCATTTGAAGGGAGAGAACAGATACAGGCAGAGATGTATCGATGATTGGCTCAGTTACTTTAGATTTCGTGGAAGTTCTGAGCTCCAAGAAAAAAAAATGGTAGATGACTTGAAATATCGGCAAGAGTGGTTTTATTCGCCTCTAGCACTAAGAATACAACTCGTATTAAACTATAAGACTTGTTGACTCCGTTCAAAAACCAATTTTGTGCGCATATGAGAAACCTTGAGTCAACATGGACCTCCAACACTACACAATTGGCAACAAGTGCAGCAGAGGCTGGACATCCTAAATTGGCAACAAGATCTCTTCCATCCAAGTTGCTACCACTTTTTTAAATTTTAAAGGTCTCCATGGTGCCACAGCAAGAAAAAAACACAGTTATTCTACCGTTACAACGGTAGTAATGTCACACGGGATTCCACGGTAGTAGAACCGTGGATTTTGATTCTTGTACAATGTGCACGGAGACATGACCGTGTTCACCGTAATATGACTGTGGGCACAGACATACTATTATGAGCATGGTTATGCTACTGTGCTCATCAATGATGATACCAAAATCCACGGTTCCACTACCGTGGAATCCCGTGTGACATTATTACCGTGGTAACTGTCAAATAACCATGTTTTTTTTCTCCGTGCAGATGTGTATACTCTCCCTAGAAAGGTTCCGAGAGCGAATGGATATACACACTCGGCGATACCTAGACTTGTAATGCTGCACATATTTTGTATTAAAACTAGAATTTGATTTCAATAGTCCACTTGTGAAAAAAGTTGACAAACGAAATGCAAAACTATTTAAAATCTCTCTTTGAAAGGAACAACATTTTCTCAACTGTTAATTTTCCAGGAGGAAAGTTTTTTGAACCAAATTTATCAGTATTTTGCAACAGAAAAACAAAACTACAATATATTAAATAACTCAAACAGATAAGCATAAAAAGAAATATTTTCATCAAATCTCGAGGCAAGAGACCGATGTCCCTAAGTAACAGCACGGGCGTTTCTTCTCATGATTCTTCGCAAGATTTTGTAGGGCTCAGGCTTCTCTCCCCCATATAACTGGGCGCTTTAGGTCATGTTATTCACTGTGAAGCATTGAACTAACACAAGTTCAAAACTGAAAAAGTTCGATAAATACCTTGAGAATTTTGGAACTTCTGTCGTAATTCGTGCATTGCATGTAACTGCTCCCTAGATCTTTGAACTTCCCGCCTTAACTTCTCCCTTTCTTCATCCCTTTCGGTCATTATATTCTGCAAAAAAGAGGACAGAGATAAAAAATTTAAAAATGAATAGTGATATTTGTTACAGAAAAATGGGAAAAAAAGAAAAAAATCCGATAGAAAGGACTACGCACAGAATTTCAAGAGTTTGGCGCAGGTTAAATTTTGATATTATTTAAAACAGTGTTCCGCACAATCTCCTGATTATCAATTAAAAATTGAACGTTCTCTGTGCTATTTTCAAGAAAAGCAGGGCTGAAAAAAGTACCTACAAACGTATACACGTGTTTTTAAATGAAAATCTGGGACTGTTGCTATGTACATGTGTAGACGCTTTCGTCGTTTAGAGGAATTCGATTTTTCTTGTCTGTTTACCAGCCTGCAAGGTAACAAAAGATCTTCTCCATCACCGATACCATGTTGCAACGCTCCTACTAGGTATTGCATGTAAAAGTTCCAAAAAAATCACATTTCAGCTCCACTTTCCTCCGGATAGGCACATGGAGAGCTTGATTTTAAAAGCTCAGTATGCTCAGAGAGTCGTGAAAATATTATCAAAAAACATCGAATTTAGCCAGCGCTTAATTTCTCAGTATTCCGTTAGTAGTCCTTTTTAATTCTCTATACTGCTCAATTATTAAGATGTCTAATTTTACACAAGGAAACCATTACATCAAAATGAACAAAATGAGATGTAACTCCTTTCAGGTAGAATAAAGAAAATCGTTTTCCTTTCGGGTGGTTTCAAAAGCGTACAGATACGATGCTCTCATCTCAATAGAAAACATTAAAAAATTAAAGAATGGTGCACTCATGAGATCACAATCTAATGATTCTAAACTTGACTTGGAATAGAGTTATTCATAAGTTGACCATTATTACTTACAAGTAACTGGGAAAGGTGATTATTTAAACTAGTTGCGATTGTTTGTAACTGTGTTGTTGATACACTGGGGAACTTGGCACTCTTTGAATGAGCTGTAACTGCATCTTCCTCTGTTACAGACAGCGCTGAACTCACGGCTGCTGATAATTGATTAGCTGTAACATACAACAAATTAATGATATTAAAATACAAATAAAGAGAAAATAGTTCAACTGGTTAATTTTTAAGATTCTCTTGAGTCTTGGAGAAAGTCTGATGAAAACAGTTTGAATTTTCAAAAAAATTGCCTTTTTTTCAGCAGTACCTTTAGGAACTGAAAATAGTAAGGCTGAAAAAAATCTGAAACATAAAAATTATTTTTCGTTGATGCGTGATTTCATTGATTTGGTAACCCACCTTGCATTGTTAATTTTCTTGCTTGGTTCCCGTAAATTTTTAAATAAATACTTCCAGTTTTCAAAAATCTCTTTCGTAGGACCCCTAGCATGGTGCATAGTTATAGAGGGGGTGGCTTACTGAGCAGAAAATCTAGCTCTATTATTTAATATAAAAAAATCATATCATGCTACAAACCTTGATTTACAGCAGCTAAAATTAATTCAGCAGCCTCTTTGTCCATCGCAGGTTCTGATGCCATCTCAGCAAATGTTTCGAACTGATCATGAGGAACATGCAAAATATCTGCCACTAGCTTCTGTTTTTCTGCTAACGCTTGCCTTATCATGTCATCTTGCCGTCTTAATTTTTCTGTGGGAAAAATTACACATGACAATAAAAAATCAAACTTTTGGGGACTTAAAAAAATTGCACACTTCCATTGAGTAAAAATAAAAGGTAAATCGCAAAATTTAGAATCTATGTATCCATCATCGAATGAAGAATTGTCAGCTATTGTCTTTCTCATAGGATGATTTGAATTTTTAGTAGCCAATAATGTATATTTAAAAATAAATACGCAAGATAAAAGAGAAAAATGAAAAGAACATGCTTCATTTAAATAAATGAAACCTTAGGCCAGGTATAATGCTCCAGATTTTATATTCTCGTAGAAAAGAATTTTATTTTTAAGACATTTTTTACAATGCAACCTTCAAAAGCTAAAAAATAAAAGAAGATTATTTACAGGATTGAAGGGACAACTGCCCAGTAATGACCTCTTGTCACAGACTGGCAAAACAAGCAATTACGAGAAATAAACCCAATTCATACCTAAAGGTGTTAGTATAGGTTCCGCAGTCTGGACCGACCTCTGCGAGATTATCACTTGGTTAGGATGAATTAATTCGTTCTGCTCCTCGGTTAATCTCAAAGGATCAGCAACACTGCTTCCTATAACCCATCACCATAAATTAGGCACATACACCAAAAATGCTCATTTTAAGAAGGCTAAGCCATGACTTTAGGCAAATTTTCACCAGTGGATTTGGTTGAAGTTTTCAACGTACTGTCAACCTCCGTTACAACAAAATGAAATTCCCTCCAGGTGCCGGTGCGCCTACAACATTAGGTTTTCATGTTGGCAGCACTGACGACTACATCTAAAATTCTCGACCCACCTCCACAGGTGGATTGAAAGTGGATGACCAAAAAGTGGATGAACGGCAAATGTTGACCAAAATTTACCAAGCAGCTGAGATTAGTTGAAAAAGCCGACCAAATCCACTTGCAAAAATTCGCCTACAGCGTAATATAAAAAAATCCACTGTCAGTCATAGATCATACGACTATAAATTCCTTTAAAAGCTGAAATAGGATAGGGATTTGATTATTATCTCAACAGGATTTAATGCAGTTTCTAAAATTATTTTTCACACAGTTTTTAAGCAATAAAAGTCTCTTAATTTCAAAAGTTAATCAAGTTTGATGCTGTTTTTAGTTGTGAGCTCATGTGGTAGGTATCGAACAAACTTACTCAGAGAGAGAAAACCTTCTAAATTTTTTTAGGATGTACCTCTGACCTCTGAATTTCAACTTACTATGAATGAGTCGTACTTCTGTTGGATGAAATCGAAGAAACAAAAGGAGCTGCCCTTACTTCTTAAAAATGACAGTAAGAAAATACTGATGGTAAATGATACAGGAATGAAACAATGACATTTGTTCATTTTTTTTTCTTTCTTTCTGTTTAGGTCACAAGAGTAAAAAATGTGTGAATAAATAGAAAAGGCATTTTCAATTATTCTATAATAGACAAGGGTATGTTCCTGCAGAACATTTTAAGGAGTCTACTTTCAGATATATTTCAACCAAGTATGTATGAATAAATATGTACAAATAATATACAGAAGCAAGTGAAAATAGAAAATACTTTTTCAATTTCCAGTAAGCAAGTAAGAGGGATTTTGCTAAAAATTGACTATATTGCTTCATTAGACTGATGTTGCTAAAAACTCTTCTCTATTCTATGTTCATTCATCTTAATTCAACATAATATCAGGGTTGTTTTTATCAATTTTCCTTAAACTTAGAGAGTTAAGTCAAAAGAAGAGTGCTAGAAAATGCTAGTTGTGGCAGTGCTAGTTTCTACCGATTAAAATTACATCAGATTGTTACTAAAAATGTAACATCACAATCACACTAGTTAAATTCGGACTTTTTACTTGAGGTGCTGATTTTTATACTAAGCTAATACTTTTGATTAAAATTGAAGCAATTTTAAAATAATTTTATTTTCATGCAAGTTAGACCACAACCAGTCTTGCATAGCTATAAAATGGTCCCTGCAAAAAATTTAATTCCAGCACTAATGTGACCACTGAGCTACAACTAATTTTTATCATCCGGGTTGCAGGTGCTTAGCCAAATGATTTATACAACTTTACAAGATCTTTCATTGATCCCATAAAGTGACAAAACCAAGTCCATGATAATGTTTTGCCAAATCCATCTGATGAGTTTAGTAATTTATAAAGCAAAGTTTTGGACAAAAAAATACTGTACCTAATTTTCTTGAAGCATTATCTGGGTGATGAGAATCTACTTCAAAACTTGGACTAGTGGGGGAGGTTTCATTCTCATTACTATTGCTAACTGATGATGTGCCTGTAGCAGGTACGGAGAGCAGGTCATTATTATTTGAGCTGACTGCAGAGTCGTTTCTGCAAAAAAAAAAAAGAACAACAAAGCGGTTATTAAAACAGTAAACTGAACAGAAACAAATGATGAATTTTTAATTGATGGCAAAAGTATAGAAGGAAAAATTTGAGGATTAACATGATGAGACAGTAGTTTTTTCCGATTAATTCTCATGAGCTAGGTATATCTTCTTCAAGTTCAAGTTTTTTGTCCCATTGATTCCCATAAACATGGTGTCTACAGAATCAGCTGAAAAAAAGTCACTAAAATTTTTGCTGACCAAAAGCAGGTAAATCTCGAATCTACCCCCAATGAAAAAGGGGTGGCTAATAGATCTGACCATGGCGTAGGTATCTCACACCCTACCTAGTTCATTGTAGTTCAGTCTTGGACCCTTTGATAGGTCCACTTAATCAGTGCTTCATTAAAATTTTACCTCAGATTTTATGAGAAACATCCTCCCTCCTTTCTTGCATTGGCAGGATCTTCCGAGACCAAATGGCGAACGCCGAATGAACCTTCAGGCATTGCCGAATTCCCCGTCGGTAATAAAATACACATTTTCTGGAATATTTTTCTCGCGATTTTCCGAAGAATTGTAGTTGCCATTAAATCTAGCGTCAGGGCCGGATTTAGGGGGTGGCCACATGGGCCGCGGCCCATGGCGGCAAATTTAGAGGGGGGAAAATTTTGCAATTTTTTTAAATGTAGGTATAAAAAAAATCGGATTTAGAAAAAAAAAGTACAAACGAGATACGGCAACAAAATCTCTCATTTCCCCAGAGTGTAGTAATTTCTATGTTGTCGTCTTTCGGTGATACAAGAGACAGCGCGGCGCGGCGCAGAGAGCAATGATGACGAGGACTTGAGATAAAAAGAAGCCCTCGGCGCGGCGGTCGGCATGTCATGAAACACAAACCTAGTAGCGCCTACAAAACTGCGTGAATATTTCACGCATTGCGTCGAACACAGTGCCGTCAGCAGCGCAGCGGTTGGCGTGAAACGCATAGCGCCTACAAGACTGCATGAATACTTCACGCATTGCGCCAAACACGGTGCAGTCAGCGCGGCGCGGAGGTGGAAGTTGAATTTATTAACCCCCATTAATGTTTGTTCTTCCACAATATTTTCGTTCATTTCTTATAAATGCAAGGCATTGTCCACACAGAGATAGGTTGACGGAACTTAATTTTTGCGCAAAGTTTCGTGAACTTTGCTAGTAGTGTTGATAGGACTTTCGCAAAAAATGTGCCCAACAAGAGTAAACGCGTCTTATGCATCCCTTTCCCTCCGGCACGTTCACTTGATGGTTTTTTATTGACGTCTCAAAACGACTGAGAAGGGGGCGGCAAGTAAGTAAATCCGGCTCTGTCTAGCGTCAGCAAAAATTCAAACGAAAACTATTGATACACTGTTTCAAAATTGGACATTTTATCGAGAGGAATTTCACAACCTTTGAATGCTCACACGGCGCACAGTGGATCGAGTCAATCAGAGGGGTCGGACATGAAATTTTCGACTAAAACTGCAAATTTTGATGTTCATTTTGTCACATTTTGAAGTTCGAGAGGTGTCCCTGAAAGAAAATTTCACGAGAAAACCAGTGGAACCACTTATAGAACCTCAAAGTTTTGTATTAATTGAGTTACAAGCGTTTAAAGTTTCCGAATTTTGCCCGACCTCTCCTATTGACCCGATTCACCGTGCGGCGCACTTCCTTTATTCGGCATATTTCCTTCGGCAGACCTCTGCATGGAAGTTGAAAATAGGGCATAAGAAAAGAGAAATTAATTACAGTTTTGGACTTACTCTTTGGTTTTCTCCTGAGATGCAGCATCCAAGTCTTGGAGAGGTGGGGCGGAGAGTTCCGGCCTCCGATTCTTGCCATCCCGATTCTGATATGCTATGGCCGCATCAGAGATGTGTTTGAACCATCTGAAACAGAAGAAAACGCCCTTCAATTAGCGATCTGGTTTGCACTCAACAATAATTAATTTCCTGTTGAAAAGACAATATTTACGAGCTGAAATATTGCAACGCTGGAATGCAGTTACGTTCTTTTCACCTGAGAAACGACATCCTCGGCGTCACGTGTGAACCGCATTTCAATTCTTGAAACCGAAAGCTTTTTCCTTCAGGCAAAACCGTCGAATGGCGCAAGTAGCTCACATAGGTTTTTTTTTTCAAATTTTTTTGGGCTTCTATTTTTTTAATTACCAAATTAAAAATTTAGAAATTTTAGTTAGGGGGAATTTTAATTAGAAATACAGACATATCAACGGTGAAACTCCCAAACTACGCTCCTACTTTAATTTTTTGAGCGAGAACAAATCAACATGATTTCCTGAAATTCCTTCAGAATTTGTTTTGTGAGGAGAGGAAGATCACGAAAGTTTTTAAGAGTTGACGTTGAGCAGTTTTCCATTTAAATGATAAAGCATGACAGGAAGTCTGCAACGTCGCAAATCGAAATACGTGGTTTGGGAATTTCACCGTTCGTTACAGAAAACATTGTTTTTCTTCCGTTTAATTTTACTGCAAAATATCAATTTTAGGTCACGCGGCCGGCTTGATACACACATCCCGATTGTTTTACACGCGTATCAATGGGCAAACCACTGTTGCCAACCTTCAGAACCCCCGCGGCTTCCGAACGGAAAATTCCAGGAAAAACCGAAGAGGTCGCGATCGGCATCTCCAAAACCATCGGTTAAATCGGAGNGGGGGGGGGGGGGGGGGGGGAGTCGGAGGAATAAAAATTATTTGGGTCATCCGTCAGCGATTTGGCGGTGCGCCGAGGGAGTCCCGTCCCGGACGAGTGTTGACCCGTGCAATAGACCCTCCTCCGCACTCGCCATTGTCGAAAAGAAACGTTTCGAGCGTGGTTTTCGGCGTGTCTCGCGACCTCCCGCTTCCTCCAGTGGCGTGGCGTGAAAGATCGATTATCGATATCTCGCCATTTGAAGCTATGGTAAAGAATCGATTACTAAGGTGTTCCCTGATAATCGATCTTTTTCATAGGTTTGAGTGGCGTATCAATCGATATATCGCAAAGCACACCACGCCACTGGCTCCCTCCCTTAAATAGGTGAGCTTGCAATGACGCAGAATGGGTGATTAGGAGGGACTGGAGGGGATGCATGAATGACGAGAGACTGTCATTTCGCGGCTCGGATTATCGCCGCCGCGTCTTGCCGAGATAGCCAGACTGTGAACTTTCGGTGTCTCGGATCTGCCTTGCTAAGGAAAAACGTCTGGCGGAAATTCAGACGTTGCCTTTCCTCCGATAAATTATTAATTTTCGGAATTTTTTTTTTAATTTTTCAAGAGAATTTGGATTACATTTTGCAATACGGAACCACTATATCTGGCTCTTCCATAAAAGCACATGCATAGAGAAACCAATGGCATGTAGTTGTTTCTAAAATAGGCCAGAAATAGTGGTTCCTCTTCCTCATTGCCAAATGTAATCCAATTTAATTTGGTACCCTTGAATTGCATTTTCAAAAAAGGAACCACGATCATTCCAGCGTCGCTAAGACTGTGCAATAGTTTTTACTCCGCAAATATAAACTGATCATCTGAACAAGCTTTATCTTTACACCCAATAAACTATGAATTTAAGAAGAAAATTACCTTTGTAAATTTAAATTTTTGCAAAGTATGTAAGTTGCACAATTCTAGCAACATTGCAGAACTCCTGGTTCCCTTCTGCAAAATGCAATCCACTTGGCCTAAAAGATCGAGAGCAAATATCCATACCCTAAGAATTCAGTACTTTTTCAGTACCACCGATTGACGAAATTCGAAAAATTTGAATTTCTCGCTTAAATTACGTCAAAAAGGACAACAAATTCCGGACCTTCTTGCGGAATTCCGCACTTTTTCAGTACTTCCGGACCGCCCTTGAAAAATCAGCACTATTTCCGGACTTTCCGGAAACTCCGGACTTGTAGACACCCTGCTAAGTCTTACAACACTGTTCAGGAATACGAAAAGCGACTTTAGAACAACTGGGTGTCGCAAACCTCCCTAACCATGGTCAAAATTCCCAAATTCCCTTCAGAATTCCCTTAATTTTCCCTGAATCTTGCAACACCGTTTACGGAGAGCGACTCCGGAACAACCGGGTGTCGATAGGACGTTCTTCCTTAGGAAATGAAGGTGAGCACGACCCACCTGACTTTCTGGCAACAGCTATGAAAACAGGGTTAGAATTGACGTCGCGGTCGTATCCATCGCTCGTCTCTTAAAACAAATCGAGTGCTGTAACTTGAATGAGAGTAATTTACAAATTCCCCCACCTAAATGTAAACCACCCAACCGCGACCCACATTCGAGTGTTCGTGATGCATGAGCATGAGCGCCTTCATGACCGCCGTCCACACTTGATCGACTAATTCTCTCTTGAAAAATTCAGGATGGAGTTCAATTCGCCATGTAAGAAACCCATGACCATTACTAGTAGGGTTGGTGAGACTTACCTAGAAATCCCATTTACATGACGTGATACTGGACACCCACCAGCGGGCTGATTATTGAAATTGACAGACAAAGCCATAGACAAAGAACACGGGAAAAAAGTGTCGGGGGTTATCCCCTAAAGTTGTAGTACTACCCCAATTTGTCGGATGAAATGGACATTTCCGATTAATTTTGGGAGCACCGCAACTCAAGTTGGGGTGGTAACTCAACATTTGGGTTAGTAACCTAATTTATCGGGATACTACCACAATTAATTGGGATACTACCACGATTAATCGGGGTGTTACCACAATTAATTGGGAATGTCCATATTATCATCCAACAGTTGGGACTTAGCCCCTACCTCTTTTTTTCCCGTGAGGACATAGGGATCATGGAGCGATTCTGTTGGTTGAAAAGGGTGGCTGTTATGGACTAAGAGGGAAAATGATGGGATGACTATAGGGTGTCTCGTGGGTTGCCATTAATTAGTCTATTACCTACCTTCTTTGCCCATTGCGTTGCAACCACCCGCTTCAACCGATAGGATTACTTAATTTTCAGTTTGTATGTAGCTTTGTCTAGCAATTTCAACTATCAGCCCGTTGGATCCTGATTGTGCTCTGTTTCACAAGCTACTGTTTACTTCCGACCAGATTGAATTTGTTGGCCCTCCCGGCGCGAAAATCGTAACCCGTGGACAGTCAATGGGAGGGAGGGGGAAGAGAATGGCTTCGGCGCACAGTGGATCGAGTGGATTACAGAAGTTCGACATGATTTTTTTGACAAAATCTGTAAATTTAAATGTTAATTTTGTGAAATTTAAAAGTTTAAGGGGTGCTTTCAAAGGTAAATTTTACAAGGAAACCGACGGGACCACTTTTAAGACCTCCGCGTTTCGGAATAATGGAGTTGTGAGCTTTGAAAGTTTCAAAATTTTGTCCGGCTTTTCCGATCGACTCGATCCAGTGTGCGGCGGAGGAAACCGTGGACCGGAACCGGGTCCGCGTTGGCGGGCGGCCGAAAATTCAGCGGACTAATTAACCGGACTCAACGGTCACCGCTCACCGCTCACCGGGGACAAAATTCATTGTCGCCGTTGGTCAACGTGACGGTGACGCTGCTGCCCGCGTCAATTATTTCAAACCGCCGGCGCCGCCGGAAGTAAGAGCTCCACTGACTCTCGTCCCAGTTTTTCTTTTCATCTTCGGTGCATCTGCCAAATTGATGCTTTGCTTTTTCTTTGCTTCAAATTGGGTCCGGAGCCCCCTGGGTGCTACGCGGCCCTAGAGTCCCTTTATACTGAGAGTCAAGACAATTTGAATCCATTTCTGATTGGTTCCCGTATTTTAGGCCTCCACAGTGTCACAAACGGGAATAAAGATTACATTTTTACCAANGTCGGAGGAATAAAAATTATTTGGGTCATCCGTCAGCGATTTGGCGGTGCGCCGAGGGAGTCCCGTCCCGGACGAGTGTTGACCCGTGCAATAGACCCTCCTCCACACTCGCCATTGTCGGAAAGAAACGTTTCGAGCGTGGTTTTCGGCGTGTCTCGCGACCTCCCGCTCCCTCCAGTGGCGTGGCGTGAAAGATCGATTATCGATATCTCGCCATTTGAAGCTATGTTAAAGAATCGATTACTAAGGTGTTCGCTGCGAACACCCTGATAATCGATCTTTTCCATAGGTTTGAGTGGCGTATCAATCGATATATCGCAAAGTACGCCACGCCACTGGCTCCCTCCCTTAAATAGGTGAGCTTGCAATGACGCAGAATGGGTGATCAAGAGGGACTGGAGGGGATGCATGAATGACGAGAGACTGTCATTTCGCGGCTCGGATTATCGCCGCCGCGTCTTGCCGAGATAGACCGACTGTGAACTTTCGGTGTCTCGGATCTGCCTTGCTAAGGAAAAACGTCTGGCGGAAATTCAGACGTTGCCTTTCTTCCGATAAATTATTAATTTCCAGGAAATTTTTTTAATTTTTCCAGAGAATTTAATCGCAATTGAATTACATTTTGCAATAAGGAGCCACTATCTCTGGTTCTTCCATGAAAGCACATACCTGCATTTTTTCTTCTTTTTTTCCTTTCTTTTATATTTTAATTGTTTGAATTTGTGTTACCTTCTCAACGGGAAATATAAACAATTATTTTACATTATGAGGTAGTGTCACAGAGTACCGCGACAGTTTAGAGGCATTTTTTCTTAACTTATTGATACCTGCATATGAAAACCAATGACATGTATGTGTTTCTAAAATGGGCCAAAAATAGTGGTTCCTTATCGAAATTTTAATTCGGTATAATGAACTTACCCTAAAAGTTCAAAAACAAATATCCATAACTTCCCCAAGGACAAAAATTGCACCGGTCTCAGTTGGAACGAAAATCCTTAACCTTGGTCAAAATTCCCAATTTCTCCATGAATTTCCTCAGTTTTCCCTGAATTTTACGACACTGTTAAG